TATACGAAACAATCGAAATTTTAATCCGTCTACTAGAAAAGGCTCCTCCAATTTAGTGGGTTTACGATGTTTTTACGAACATCCGTTTGTATCCTCAATTTATATATGTTTATTAAAATTAATAAATAATTATAAATAATATTTTAAAATTTATTAAATAAATAAATATATACTATACTATTATTTATTTATTTATTTATATTCAATATATAAATAAAATGTTTAATTTTATATTAATTTAATTTTTATTTGTTTATATTTATTTATTTAATTTTATAAATGATTATAAATAATAGTTTAAAATTTACTAATTAAATATATAAATTATAAAAATAAATAAATTTTATTTATTTTCAATTTGTTTACTTTTACTTTAATCGTGATAGAAAATGTTTATATGACAATTTTATTGAATAATTTAAAAATGTGATCTATCATATCAGTAAAACTAACTTATTATCCATGCAATTCACAAATTATTTTTATTTATATAAATGTGTTTAGATATATAAATTAACATTATTTAATCACTCATATGTTCAATATATATATATATATATGTAAATAATAAATAATATAATTAAGATTAAAATTAAAATTTTTAATTAAAAAATTAAAAATTCGAAACATATAATAGTATTTGAAGAAAAATAAAATATCCAAAAAAATTATATATAAATTGTATTATTGAGTACACTAATAAAATAGTAAATTGAAAACTAAAAGTTTTATCATTTTAAATCAACATTCTTCAATTTGTATTATTTTTATCTTGTGCAATTATTTTTATACACTTACAAATTTATATAATTTTAAGATAAATTTTATTTATTTAAAAAAGATAATAATTTTAAATGTTTAAACAATATGCGTGACAATTTACTTGCATATATATTTTTTGCACGAGTTTAAGAAATATATTGATTTTCAACATTTATAAGATTTGTCAAATTAATTTTTATACTTGTTTTAAGATTTAAATTTGATTTAAAATTGTATTATTGTAAAAACTGAGATAAAATAATTTTAAATTTTAAGTAATAATATTAAATTTAAAATAATTATTTAAAAAAATTGTTGTAAAAAAGTTTTAATAAGAAGCTGTCAAATCACATTCACAGAATTTTATAATAAATTTCAAAAGTAAAAAAATTTACATTTTATTTTTACTACTTACATTTTGCTTTTAAAAAAAAACCAATAATACTATAGAAGAATTAAATTATAAAATTTAATTTTAAATAAATAAATATGATTTTACTTTTATATTAAACAATTATGTTAGAATTAGTAGTGCATCTTAATCATTTACCTTTATTTATAAATTTAAATAAAAAAAAAAAAGAAAAAGTGCAACAAAATCAACAATTAAAAATAAGTCTATAGAATATTTTTTAAATAAATAAATAAAACCAACAAACAATGTTTAAACAATTAAATCAATATTTTTTACTTTTAATTGTTAAAATACTTCAAAAAAATTATTATTGTGTTAAACCAATATTTTTACTTAGCTCAAAATTCCATGAATTGTTAAAAATTTTATATAAGATCCATGCATACACTTTGAAATAAATAAAATATTCAAAATTTTCATAAATTTTTCAACAACTAAAAAGTGTTGATTTTAACTTTTTAACATGTGGATATACATATCATAATAAAATATAATAAAAATTATGCATTTCATATATTAAAATATTATAAAAATATAATAAAAGATTTTGTGTATCTCATAGGTTAAAAATCATTTCTTTTTCATAGAGGTTGAAAAAAATATAAAAATAAAATTAATATTGAGAATATTATTATAAAATAAGTTACCTTCTAATGTATTAAATATTTAATCTTTTTAAATAAAAAATGACCAAATAATGAAGGATTATTATGAAATCTTTAAAAATAAAAGTTATATTTTAACATTTAAATTATTAAAAATTTTATTTTATAATATCACTATATTTGAGATATTTAGATTTAAAAAGATATATTTATATTATTAGAAAATTTATTTTAAAAGATAATATATCATTATATTTGAAAATTTCAATTGAAAAAGAAATATATTTAGATTATTTAGAAATGTATTTTTCAAAAATTAATATATTTTTTGAAAAATATATATTTATACTAACTTTTTTAACCTGTACAATGTATGGGATTTTTTATTAAATTTTTCATAATTTTAAATTTATTTTTTAATTAGTTATCTAATGTATAATCATATATTTATAAATACTAAGTTACAATTAAATGATAATTTATACATAATATATTATAAATGATATTGTTCATCTAAAAAAAATCTGAACTTTCATAAATTTTTAAGAATTATAAGAATCTTTTTTTTTATTAAAAATTATTTACTTCAATTTATTTGCTAAATACTAAAAAATTTGCTACTGCTTTTGTCTTGTTTGATAAAAATAAAGAATTAATATTTAAATAGTTAAGATTAATAATTGTTCTTATCAAAATGTTGATTCGGTGGTGTGCATATGTATATATTTGATTGAACAACAAATCACAATTATTAATTTTGTTGTAATCATTTATTTTTTATTAGTTCTTATTTTTTTATTATTATATAAATATATTGGGCTAACAATTATTTTTATATATGTCAACAAAATAAAGTTATTTTTTAGATAAAAAGGGAAATAATAATTTTGAAATAAAGTTATTTTTTAGATAAAAGTTATTTACGTTATGCTTAAAAAAAATTTTGAAATATTTTTTATTTTTAATATTTTTAACATAATTGATAGTATTTTTTGTGAGTTAGATATGGTAATGATTATCATTCTTCTCATATCATCTATTATAAACAAAGAAATTCAATAATAAAACTATAACAAAAGGAAATAGTTAGTATAAATTTACATATTAATTTATCAAGATTGATTATAATTAATAGAGAGGAAAAACATTGAAGAAATGAATAAAACAAAAAATTAATTATAATCAATCTAAGTAATTTAAAAAAAAGTTATGGACTAAAGAGAAACAAATAAATTAACAAAATATATAAAATAAAAATATTGAATTAGAACATAAATAAAACATTATATTTGTTTTCAAAGCAAAAACATATTTTTATATAACTTTTTTATTAATATTCAAATGTCTCATATTTTCAGATAAAAATATAAGCTTTTATTACTTTAAACATATATGCTTTATAGTCAATAATTCATTAACTTATATAAAAGTATTAAATTTAAAATAATCTAATAAATAATTTTTAATTTTTGATAGATTTTGATTTAAATTTAAATATTTATCTAAAAATATTAAATTTAAATAATTTAGTAATAGAATTATTTGATAGAAAATAAAAATTTATTAAGTATATAGACTTGAAACTGTTATTAAATTTAAAAATAAAAAATAAATTATAAATTAATATATTTGAATTCAAATCTTATGCAAAAATTTCAATTTTAGATAGATTTTGATTTCAATTTAAATAATTATCCAAAATATTCAATTTAAATAATTTATTAAAAAAATTTATTTGATAAATAAAATAATATAAATATTATCCTATGTGTCATTAAAAGAGATTATCCACCTAGGCATCCACATAAACAATTTTGATCATGTAACCTTGTATGTTGTAATGTAATATATATATATATATATATATATATTAGATTAGATTTTGTTGTTAGCAATTTAAAAATAATTGAATGGGTATTTCAATTAAATTTAAAAATTTTGGATAATTACATATTTTTAAATATATATTTTTGATAAATAACTTAAAATTAAGAAATATTTTAAATATCATTATAAAAAATTTTTAAAAATTCTTATATGTTGAAAAGAGAAATAATTTACAAAAATGTCAATGCAAGTAAATTTTGTCAAATTTCTATATAAGTTAGAATATAATATTATATATAATTATTTATAAATACTAATATTTAAATTAATAAATTATTATCCCATCAAAAGTGACAAATAATAATAGCAAGAGTATAAGATGAAAAAGCATTTTCTTAATTTAAAACATATTTGATTTCGGAAAAAAAAAACCACGGTCAAGATTTTTCAAATCCATTTTATCTAGGTGAACCGAATTTTGGGGGAGACCCTCATAGACATGCAGTGACGTCATTCGTATAAAAATTAGTAGTGAAAAAAAATTTTTTTTTGAGAGAATTGAAATTGTAATATTTGATTTGATTTAAATTATTTTTTATTTAGTTTGAATTAAATTTGAATATTAAAGTTATATTTTATATAAAGGATTATGGATAAAATAAAATAATAATTATTTTATATTTTATTTAATTTATATTTAATAAAAAATTAAATTATAAAAAATTATTATCCTCTAGACATAGGATAGTTTAATATTTTTAAAATAAAACAGTATTATTTTTAATTTATAGAATTAAATTTATATATCTTATTTATTTTTAAAAATTACATTAATAATTTAAATTATATAAATTAAAAAATTAATAGTTTTAACTAACAAATAAATAATTTTATTTTAATTTTTGTTCATCAAATAAAAAAATAAAATGATATTAGTTAGTCTAATTCTATTTATAATATAATTTTATATTATCTTATTATAATTTTATATATAAAATATGATTTAAATGTACATTTAGATTCAAATTAAATATCAGATCAAGAAATGAAAATTTTAAAAAATAAAATTGAATTATATATTTTTATTAATTTATATATATTTTAAATTTTTATAAAATAATAAAATTATTTTATCTCTAAATATATTTAAATAATATATAAAAAATAAAAAATTTAAATTTAAAAAATTAATCAAAACTAATAAAATTGACATTATATAAAAATTTAATTTAAATTTCGATTAAATTAAAAAAAAAACAAATCAAATCAAATCCAACTGATCCATTATCATTTATAATTTTATACATCCTATAAAATGTCTTTTCTTGGTTTTTTTTTTTTTGGGTGAAAATTCAGTTTCCTCTGTTAACCTGTCCTTCAAGTTCCACTATAAGCCAGCTTTTTTTTTTTTTTTTTAATTCATTAAAAAATTAAAATTTCAACCTTACCCTCAATATTTCTGTAAATTTAAAATCATCTTCCGTCATTAAATTCAAGATTTCTAATTTTGCTGCTTCTTTTTGCCGAAGTTGAACTGGTGTAAATTCTAGGGTTTTTAATAGTCTCACCCATGGGTGAATGCAAAATGGAGAATATGCCGTTGCCATCTCTCTTCGAACAAGCTCGTAAGATCCATCTGACGGCCACGGAGTTCGGTGCTGATCGGCTACGGCTACTTCTCATGCTTGATTTAATGTCCCGTCATCGCTTTCTGATCTGATAAATGTGAATTTCATGGGTCCGCAGGATCTGGTGAAGAAAGGATGCGAGGCGCTGGGGAAGTGCGAGGACGTGATAAGCAAACTAGGGTTTTTCTCATCCAATGAGACCAAAGATGACATCAGCACCACCAATCTCAAGTACCTTCTGGTGATCAGCAATATGTTTATTTCGTTTCTGTTTTGTTGGATAAATTATAGTACTCCATACATTAAGTTTTGTTTGAAATTTTGATTTCTAACTCATTTATAATATTTCTGTAATTACTTCTTTTTTCCTTAAATAAGTTGGACTTGGGAGTTATTCATTTTTGTAATATTTTGATAAATAGCAGTCGTGGCTGTAATTTATCAAATACTTTGAAGCTGGCACGTTCTAACTGTTGTTTTACATTACAGGTGCCATTTTATCATGCAGAGCTGACGCAGAGCTGACCGAAAAACTTGCACAGGATGACAGGATACATATTCTCAAGACTTCGCAGGCAAAATTGTAGGTATATTTAGTTCACACCATGAACTGAACTGTGGTTGAAAGCTCCTTATGGAAGTTTAGCATTAGAGATAACATTTGATAATGATGTTTAATAACTATTGCTTTTTAATCTGTTTTATTTTTTCTTTTATCGTATTTCTTGTGTTGCATGTCAATTGGAACTTATAGAAAGTGTGATTTCTTCTAGGAATTCATTTCATTTTGTGAGGCAATGGAGCTTGTACCACAGGAAGAGTTGGAAGTTTCTGGTCAAGGAGCTTCAAATGCTTTTGCGGATCGACGAGCCTTGAAGGTAGATATGTATACACTTGCTAACAGCAAGAATTTGTTCTCATTGGATGCATTATGGATCATTGATTTGAATGGAAATGCTGTTGTGTGTGTGTGTGTCTGCACATGCACACACATGTATCCAGATTGCTAGGTTTAGACGCCAAAGAGCTGCAGAAGCTAAGCTGACAGAAATAAAGGAGCAGAAGGAGCACTGTGGGCGTTCAACTAAAGCGTCTGCCTTATCCACTCCTGTTGAGGTTGGAGAGGAGGATGTGCTGGATGACGACTGTGAGGAGGAGCGGGAGGTTAGTCCTTTGCATGAAATACTTTTAAAGTACCTCTTCTTTAGATATGACATTACTGTTAGGACTTCCCTGTTAGATACGGAATTTGATACTGTTATCATATGAAAATCTCCAAATACATGGAACTTATACAAGGAACCTTTAGCTACTGTTTAATCAATTACCTCATAAAACCGGGATGTAGGGAATTTTTAGTTAAGGGTATTCTTTAAGAAGGTTTCTTTTGAATTTGGTTGTTGTTGATTTACTTATTGTGCTTATGCTTATCAACCCAGGGAGTGATGGAGGTTTAGTTAGTGCTATTACATAATGTGGTTCTCCCTGAAGTTGAATTGTTTCTTTCATTGTTTCTTGTGCTTGCATGGTTTTATCATAAGAAATTTCTAGCAAGAATTGTGATTGTTCTGCTGACTGTGATATCTAGCAGTTTGAAATGTTGTGTTTGAGGTTGTACTTCTCTCTGTTATAGCTGGAGGTTTTGTAACTCAATTTTTACTCTGTATATGATGTGTACAAGTGTTGGTTTTTTCTTTATTCTGAGGTATGATATCTATCTACTGGATATGACGAGGACCCAATTGGGAATTACAACTACACTAGACCTGGTGGCCTTGGTATGCAGCTAAGGAAATATTGGCCTTAGGCTTTTATTTTCCCTAGAATTATGATGATGGTCCTTTTTAGCTGATACTGAAATTTAATTTGGTTATTTTATTTTCAGAGTAGATGTACTATGCATTCAAACTGAAATGTTATACCTAATGCTTATTGTTGAAGATATTAGTTGTGCTTCTTTGGTTTCACATAAGTTTCTGGTTTCTCTAAAATAATGAGTTTCTCCTCTTGCAGGCTTGGCTTACTACTATCTCGTTGGCTATTTGTAAGGTTAGTCTTATATTTCAATAAAACCTGCCATGTAAAAGCTTTAAAGTTCTTTTCTATGATAGTGATATCTTGATACCACTTTCTGCCTTGTTCCTTCCTTTGTAGGCTTTTGATCGGCTTGAAATGCTAAAGAACGAAGAAGAAATGCTTTCTGCTATAAAGGACAAACAACTAAAGGTATTAATCTAGCGTAATTGTTGTATTCATTTTATGTGTTTTTCCCTGAAAATTTTTACTTCTCTGCCTTGTGAATTGTTGAGTAGTGCTGAAAATATCCACCAGAAGAAGATTTAAAGCTTTGAGTATAGCAATACTTTTAGATTGACACTATGCACCCCACTTAGGACATGTAAAGCATTGCTTGAGTAAATATTTTTTGATGTTAAGCCTTATAAGGGGATGTATAAATGTACAATGCCAATATTGACACTGTTCACCCTACTTAAGAGATTGTTTACTTTATTTTTCTGATAAGTATGAGAACTTTGTTACTCTATTACAGTTCTCGTACGTTCATTCTCTAGGCTTGCTACAATGCCAACTGGCCATTGACATTGGAGGAAATTGGAAATTCTTCTATAAATTGCTGGAAATATTTAATTAAATCTCCTGAAACATGGTGTTGTTGTTTAAATGATAAACATTAGTCTATCCAATGTAATCTTTTCATTGATTTGAATTCACAGTAATGGCCAGCTTCTGTTGGCAACTTATATTGAAAAAGATCAATAGTTTTTCCTTTCAGTTTCAGAAAATAAAGAAGAATGGTTTTGTATGAAGGAATCATCAAATTCATTACTTCCTTTTTTGCTCAAATTTTGAAAGCCAATGCCTAATGAACCAATTTCTTATTTGAATTTGTATTGATGGCATTTGTCTGTTTTCCTTGTATTTCAGGAAGGGGAAATGGAATTTTCTCAGGCTATCTTTGATGATGGCACCAAAAAGGCAGAGGCATGGCATCGTGATGCTGCAGCTCATGCACGATGTACTAAACCTGCACTACCTATCACATGTGCTACATTTGCTCAAGATGTTATAGAAGGAAGGGCAAAGATTTCACAGGCACATGACCACAAACACCAGCCAATGATATTTGGACCACAAAGCCTTGTAGGTGGAAGCCTAACAAATGAGAGGGAAAGGATGGCAGCACAGGTTTTCCAACCAGGTTATTGGTAAATCCCTGTCCTGATTCTACAGAAAACTATTATTTACTTTCTGTTTTATTGTCTGGGATGGAGAGATTCCGGCATCAAATTATTTTGTTAAACATCTTGCCATGTTATGCCTACTTTAATATTTGATATTGGCATATAGTGCTTCTGATCATACGTAAATAAAAACATTGTGATTTTTAAACATATTTTTTTCAATTGCTAATCAAATTATCTGGTGGTAGGATGCCAACCATGAGTATTGAGGAAACTGGTCTGAGGGAGATGGAAATGATGAACAAATGGCAGGAGAGGAATGCAAAAGTGTTTGAAGAAGCCGACTTGGCATGGTATAAGGACGGCCCAAAGTTGGGACCAAGTGAAGATTATGAAGACGATGATGCTGCCCAAGAGAAGGCAAGAGCATGGGATGACTGGAAAGATGATAATCCTCGAGGTGCTGGCAATAAAAAGCTTACCCCCTGTGGGTGAAAGCTAACTAGTAGTTCTCATACTTCTGACCTAATTAATGGTGGTTTTAGAAACGTTTCTGAATATATTATTCTTCTTATAGATAATGTTCTTACAAAATTTTGTCAGTCTGCTTTGAGCAATGTATAAAATTCATGCATCGATTAGAACAAACTTGATTCTGTGTAGGTGTTACCAACTTTTTGTCAACTGAGTGGATTCTTTTAGGGTTTTATTTAAGTTGAACCAAATGTCCAGGTGCTGTGTATTATAGGAATTGGATGGAAGGCAAGGCATCAATTGCCATGGGCTGTGCTGCTGAAAACATGGACGGCGTTCGTACATAATGGCAAGTAATGATAATGAAATGAAAGCTGAATTTGTTGCTTGTGTAGTTTGCCTTTACTCACCCTTTTTGCTTCGAATTCTCAGAAGGATTGACGGTAATGCTCGACTATTTACAAGAATAAGCCTTCTCTTTCTAGTTAGTAGTTACTACTCAACGAGTTGGTTTTTATGGGTACGTAAAATATTCTACATTCACAATTAACAACGCCAGATCCAAGCGTCGATCCAGGCAAATCTGTTACTAAACCAAAGTTTGATCAGTTTGGTCGGCTAAGTACAACTGGCTCCTTCAAATTTGGTGGCACACGAATTATTTCCTCCCCCCTCTTTTATTCTCAGATTCCACTATGCCAGCCAGTGACAGATGTAATAGGTGATGGGAGTCATTTCATTATTTATTAGATTTACCAATTGCCTTGTACAGCATTGCTTAACAGCAATTGGCCCACTTATTTGTGGTGGGATTGGCAAGCCTGCTGATTGCTGAATTGAGCCTAGTGAAGTCCAAACTCCAACTGAACTTTCCCTATTTGAGTGGACTTGAAATAAAAATCTCACCATCTTTGTTTTAAAGGGAAAAACGTGCGACACGAAAAAATGAGATAGAATACCTGCAAAGTATAGAAAATGTCCTGGGTGACAGCTGCTATATGACAATGGAATGTTGACATGTCTACTATCAATTGATTGCTACTCTGGAGTAAGATTCTTGCCGTAGAGCATGACAAGGCAAGCGAGTTGCACAATCTTACAAAATTGTACGACAATTTAAGATGTTGATTGGACGATGTTTAGATTATAGGATGATAAATCGGACTCACTGTGAACTTACAGGCGGCTAGTCCACATCACACTATAGTCACAGTTTTTCATGTACAGAGACAAAATGAATCCACGACTTTTTGTTCGTTCAGTTCTCTTACGAACTTTGAACCATCTACCCAAATGATTGGCACCACATATTTTACTCTAATCTTCTACATTCCAGGCTAAATTTAAGGAGTTTGGTTACACGTTTTAAATAAACTAGTCTGTTCATGTAAGGAAAATTCATGGGGTAAAGCATAGGATGACTCATAACTGCTAATGGAGGCTTGTTATCTGCTTGCATTAAGCAGAAACATGGTTAATTTCACAAGACATCAACCATGTCCATTTTGTGTAGAAAAATATAACAATCTTGTTAATCAGGTATCATAAAGAGAATAGATAGTCATATAACGTGCATAGAACTTAATGGCTAATGCATGATACTGAAATCATCAGTTCTCTGAGCAAAAGACATACAAGATGTTAGCCATTTTTCTTTTTCCTGAAGAATGAACTCCGCATGGTTGCCAAAAGAAAATTGTTGCAACTGACAGCAGGAGAAATTTAGAGCACTGATAGAAGAACATATTCAACTCCAGACAGCAACGAGCCCAGAATTATGTTTCTCAAAAACAAATTGTGAAGAAAGATAACTGCAGACTTTTAATCCTTGAAAACAAATTGATAATCTAAAAGGAAAAGTTTACCAAATACATGCTGAGTAATCCATTGACAAAAGCAACCTCAGCGTTTGTTCCTTCACCATGCCTCCCTAAATCCTATTACCTCTTCTTTTTTAAGAACTTTATGTTTCTTATCTATATTGTGAAGATGACCCCAAGATGGCAAGGTGGAATACGGTACCTAAAGACCAGAAAGAGTAGTCTTCTAGGCATTTCCACACCTACACAACGAAAACGGTTCATTTCCAGAGGACTCGTGCATTTTCATTTCATTTCCGCGGCCCATAATTCTCTTGAAAAATATGAACCTTTTTTTCCGAGAATTAGCAATGATGAAAATAAAAGTACAATGATATTTTTATTGAAATGCAGAGTGAAGAAAAGATTAATCATACTGAAGAGAAAGATGGAAACTATCCATTCAAAAAGTTTTATATTAACGCAACAAAGATTAACCTGATCCTTCATCAATTAAAGAGACAAGAATATCAAGCAAAGGGTTTATCTGTAGGCTGTGAGTATAAACAGTTTTTGGTGCAATTACATGTAATTTTGCAAACCAATAACTGAAAAAAGAAAAAAGCTTGTTCTGAAAATCATCAACAAAAAGAGTTACACAACTCACAAGAGAATTACCAGTTGAAGCCAGAACTGAAAAAATTGAGAGAAACTCAAACACTTACCATTAAAATTTTTACAATCCCCATTACACTGTCTTTGTCCTCCCGCTGGATGCCGCTCTTGTCAACAGAATTTGCCATTCAATTCATTACTTTGACCACCAAATTATACAATATAAAGGAAAAACAACTTCCCCAAAGGCAAAAACAAAAACTTTCAACCATCAAGGCATTGAAAGCCTCTGCAAACCCATAACCAAATCCCAAACAAAGTAGTACAAACAAGCAAATCCAATATCAAAACCACCCAAACATGTTTCCTCCAAGTTTGCTTAGCCTTTTGCCTATCCCCACCACCCACATATAAACCAGCAGCGCCACTTTTATGCATAGAAACAGGGAAGTCTCTAAAATCATCACTTACATCAACCTTATTCTCCATCCCAATCCCAGCACCAGCATCCTTGGCCTCAGCACCGTGGACCTCCAAACCACCCAATCTTCTCTTCTTTTTCAACCCTTTAATTGGCATCTCTAATAGAGGAGCCACGACGGTTCTCTTCCCTGTGTTAGAATCCAAACTTGGGTTTAGATTCTCTTCCCTGGGGGATGTAACCAACTCCAAATCTAAAGCCAATATCTCAGAAAAGATTGGATTGAAATGGGGTTGGAGACAATTAGGGGTCAAATTATCTGAGCCCACAATTAAACCAGTGAGAAGAAAATCCTCGAAAGCAGATTTGAGGCGATTCAAGAACCAAAAAGACTCAGGTTTCTCAAGATCCTCGTGGAAAATGAGGAAATAGGCAAAAGGGTCATCGATTAAGAAGGTGTAGGTTCTTTTGGAAACGGTTTGAGAGAACATTGAATGGAAAGGAGGGGTTTTTTGGATGCATTTTTGAGCTAAGGATTCGATACCCGCTTCTTTGGCAGAGAATTCAGCAAGAATTGTGGGTCCCTTTACAATGCAGGCATAGAATATGAGATTTGGATTGGAAATCATTTGATGGGTTCTTCTTTAAAACGGCGAACTGAGCTTTGATTTTGATTTGATTGAATTCTTAATTTCTCACTCCAAAAAAAAAATCCTTTTTATGGGTTTCTCTCACTAAAAAAGGAATAAAAAAAAGTTATAGTTTTGGTTTTCTCTGATTACAGATTGTATCATGGCTTTGCTAGGGTTTGGAGGGCGATTACGCAATCAATTGTTCGAAATTGGAATAAACCAAACAAAATAAAATTGAAAGTAACAGACCACAATAACGACTGTCATTTCATTAAATTACCCTTCTTTGGGGATTCTAATTACGGGAAATGACCTAATGTCGGCTTTTGTATACTATAGAAGAGTTGCAGTATAATAATAATAGTGTTCTGAAGAGATATAATTACCAGCATGCCCCAAATCTCAATTGCTCTTGATCCAAGGCACCCTCAGCAGTCGATTCATTTTAGAGATAGTTGTTGATTTTTATATCATAGTTTGTAATGATATAAATTAATATATTTTGTAATTGTTGTAGTATTGTAAATCTTTTATATTAGAATTTTTGTAAAATTATAAGCAGATCAATGATTCACTTAAAAAAATTATCATACCAAAAAATATTAAAGTAAGTTATTACAGTGAAAAGCATAATTTTACAAAAATTAAGTCATTTTCATGCCAACAAATGCTTGTAATTTTGAATGCCAACTTAAATATTTTGACCTTATACTTATACTTTAATTATATATATTACTCATATTTGATATTTTCCTAAAGAAAGCAACATCCATCGTTAGTTGGCTTGGCACTTTGATTTCAACATCAACTCAACCAAAAGGATGCCTAAATAAACATACCTTTTCATAAACTCAATTCAATTTCACTCTTTTCTATGAATGATAACACGCTAATGTTAATTGTCCTCATCTTGCAACAAACAAGAAGAAAAACTTACTCTAAGCAAGCCTCTATAGCTGCATGTTACTGTCGACCTGAATTGGCAAATGGCCACGGACAATAATTCTTTTCGGCCCTGGATTGTTTGGAGATTCAACTCTTTAAGGCAATGGCATTTGGAGGATGAGCTTTTAACCACAGTACTTGGCAGTAACGTTGCTTGGTATGGGTAACATTTGACAAGGCAGTAGTGTCGTTATTATTCTGTTTACAAATATTACAATGGTAATTTTGTAGTACTATATAGAATTAATAAAAAATGCGCATTTCCAAACTATATCATACTCTTATAAAAAAATAATAACCAATGCAACAGTTGTGGAAGCACATAGCCAGATGGGGAGGTGGGACAGAAAAAACACACAATACTGGCATGTAATTTTCCCTCTGATTGATTAACCATGAACAAGTCCTAAGAGATCTTGAGTATGAAAAAGCCTTTTGGTCTTTTGAGGGTTTCTCTTTCCTTGCCATTGGTGTGTTTCTGCCTTCTCTTTTAGGCTCACATAATGTAAGGTGGATCGATGCAGGCCCATTCAAAAACCTGCTCATATTGAATGGCAGCACTTTCCCAGGTGAAGTCTCTCTCCATACATCTTTTCATCAATCCCTCCCAAGTTGACTTGTGATCTCTGTAGGTCATTATAGCCGTTCTTAATGCCTGCAGTAATATCAAACTTATTCTTAAGAGAAAATTGCACTATGTCCATTTAGAAGGGAGAATTCAAAGGGTAAGAAGAAAAAAAAAAGAGAATAAATACTAAGGATCATTTTGCAGCACAGAAGAAAAGATCCGGTTTTGGACAGAGTAATTAGCAACTGTTAAATGACAGACCCACCATTACAGGGTAAAATGAGTTAAAGGCTTAAAGCAGTGTTTTCATCTAAACAGGAATCACAAGTACTGGCAGAAAATGAAAAACTCCTATATAGATGTAGCATTAACTTACCTTCAGTATACTGTCTCTTGTGAGGGGAGAAAAAGTCCACCTGTAATCACATTTCACAACCATTGTAACAGAAACTAACTGTGAACAAAACACATTGAAATTGATGTACCTTCTTCTAGAAAAAAAAAAGAACCATCCTTTTTCTAGCAAGCATAAACGGAATCTCTAATACTATATTATCTTCAGGCAGATTCTTCATACAAAATTTTCCAACGGAGAAAAAGGCCGCACAAACATTGATGCACGTGACAAGCTCTTCTTTATTTGTCATTGTCTCATTATAAGGTCTTGGTTTTGTGTAATATTCACATCCTTCTATAAATACTAAAGTTCTTCAGAAATCAATCCAGTAGCATTCTTTAACAAAACCTAGTAGATGATGTTAACGAATGTTTGATCCACATGAAATCTTAAATAGAGATTTATTTTTCTATTTTAATTAAAGAACATTTGATTACTACAAAATTTTCAACTCCATAAAAGATTGTCTACAAAATAATCATCTGCACAAAGAATTTAACCTTTCCATACCCTATAGTAAGTCAATGAAAAAGAAAGGTAGGGACTGCATACCCTGTGCCTTCACCACTACCTCCTTCAGCATACGGATTGAAATTCTCTACCGTGTCCTGAAGAAGAATAAGTTTAGAGGCATGTAATGCACATAAATCAGATAAATGCAAATGACTGTAGATAATTATGTTTTAACTCACTCTAAGTCCTCCTGTGGCATGAACTACTGGTACAGTTGCATATCTCATTGCATACAATTGATTTAATCCACAGGGCTCAAATCTTGAGGGCATCAACAGTATGTCACAGCTGCTCATAACAGAACAACAGTGTGTTATTGGTATCTCTAGTAACATGTTAACAACAAAAAGAAGTTTCCAATTACCCTGCAGTGATCCTATGAGAAATTGGAACATTAAATCCGACCCAACCCCGAAATTTGTCTCTGTAAGTTGTCTCTGCTGATCTCATCCAGTCTTCATACAGGGGTTCCCCAGAGCCAAGCATTACCTAAAGAAATTTTGGAAGCTTACTTTTCCTGTTAGTTACGAAAAGAATAACTAGAAAACAAGAGGCATAGAGAGGCCATGAGATCGCACCCAGACTAATGCTTGTTAAAGGACATATGCCTATCTGTAACGCACCCACCAAAGCCCCAGCAACTACTAGATTTGCACTCAATGTTCAGATTATTTCTAAGAAGAGATATTGTCCCCTTTACTCTTAAATAAATCTCTCATTTCTTGAAATCAACTTGAAGAAGAATGATATTATACAGTAAAATTGCATTAAGGACCAACTTAAAATGTCCAAATGAGTCCTGGTCCTCAACAAGGGTAAATCTACTTTTACCTTCCATGAGTTTGAATGTTACTTTGACTCTACAAAGTTGAAAATAGTCTTCTACCAAACAGTCACCATGCTATTAATCAAAAGGAACACTTCCTTGAATACATGATACAAATTAAGAGTAATTCTACCTCGAACATATTAAGGTTATTAAGTAAATGGAAAACTTACAAATTGCACATCATCTTCCATAAGTTCAGGAGTTGCCCAGCGGATCAGATCAATGCCTTTCTGGTAGTCCAGTCTCCCAATAAATCCAATCTGTAAATCCTAACTTAGTGAGAAATGAAGGAAAGCATAGTTTTTCACTACCAAGTCTGCTCCAACAGAAAGTAAAATCTTACCAAGGGACATTCAGGCCTAATTGGAAGACCTAGTTCCTGTTGAAGAGCAGTCTTGCATTGAACCTTAAGTTTACAATTGATTGGGACAAGAATTCAGAACAATAACTTTTTAAACTATGAAGGGCTGATTCTAGAAACAAGAGATAAACCACCTTTCCAGAGAGATCATCAGCAGAATAATGAAAAGCAATATGCTCATCTGAAGAGGGATCCCATTCAGCAACATCAATTCCATTCGCAATTCCTGATCACCATTGAATGCTTAGGAAGTATCCAGTTACAAAATATCTAATTTCTTCAGAGACTATAAACATGACTGGAGAACATCCAAACTCCCCCCACATGATCAATGCATGCAATTTTCCTTATAGTGGTCAGTTCTCGTCCAGTGTGAAGCTTATGGACTGAGCTAAAACCCAGATAAAGATCACACTTTATGTTGTTCCCATCAAAAGTGGGATGTCTCAGAGAAACTTGGGCATGAAACTTAACCTTCACTATATTTGCATGTGCGTTAACCTTGAAGCATTTTAGAATTGTGCCAGATGACATAAGGGCGACATCCTTACAAAGTAGAGAATACATACCATTCAGAACACTCCTTCGACTGCTTAATAGCTCATTTAAACCATATCCGCCTTCAACAGTTGTTATTTCCCATGCATAGCCCTACAATTAACAAATATAGTAGACTAAGGCCATCTTCTAAAATTACTAAGACTGGACGCAATAGTTCAAAGTTATTAAGTAAAGGACAGTTTTACTTTTCAATTGCAACTCATTGCAATAAAAGTAGTGCAGACATTCTGTGACTTTTCAGTTAGATTTACATAATATATAATTGAGACCATCAAATACAAAGTTTTTAATTATAGCATTTAAAAGTAACATTTTGAAAATTCAAAAAATTACCAAGATTACATATCCAAAGAAATGACTAGATGTAAATGTACCATAAAATAGCATCACATGTAAAATAAATCACCTTGCTAACCGTAAGTATTCGATCAGCTGTCACAATTGCACCCTTTAGAATATTGACAGCTTCTCCTGTGTCAAGAGCATGTGTCCTTGCCCATGTAGGAAACACCCATTCCAATGCCCCATACCAGTCTGATGGCAATCCCAAATTCTTATAGCTTGCTGCTGGTTCCACTCCCTTACAGATAGAAGACAATATATTTAAAATTAGTATTGCAGAAATGCACTTGATTCATAAGAGTTTAGTTTCACCAGTCTTACAACTTCAGGAAACCGAAAGGGAAAGTTTTTAATATCAGTCTTGGTGTACAAGAAAATGAGAGAATCAAGAACAAAGCAAAAGGAATAACCATGAGAAAAGCATCTACCTGATGAGCAAGGTTATGAATTACAAGGATGCTCCGAGCATCCTTATAAACTCCAAATGGATGGTATTTGGAAGCCAAAAGCCTGAAAAATGTAACATGTAAAACCAGCAGTCCCAGAAAAGTTGCAAACTTTATAAATTGAGTGTAGTACAAATGTTGAATTAAGTTTCTATAATAAAAGTTTGCCTCCAAATTAAAACATCGTCATATTAAAGAAACAAAAAGAAGCTATCAAAGATATCACATAAGGGAAGTTGATCAGCATGAGCAGAGTAAAGATGATAACATCTCCCTTTGATAAAGCTACAACGTATGCTCTGCGCATACAAGAATCATTATGCAGATGTTCTACTGGCCAACAACTTGTGTCTGCATTTGTATTCAATCAGAGTTTTCCCATTCTTGAAGCATCAATTTTCTTTCCCTTTAAATTCCAGTTCAAGGAAAGGCAGAAAGGAAATTCTAAATTGCTAGCTGAAAGTTATATTAGCACACACACAAGGATGCTAAGAAAAGTATACAAAGATAAAGTGATATAAGAATGAAGTAGCAAACTAAGTAGTTGGTAATTAGACAATGTTTCTGATTCTTGCAAATAATGAGATATAAAGTCGAACCAATAAAAAACAGGCAAACAAATGCAATGATTAGCAGGCAACATCTTACACAGTCACTAGACCAGCATGCCAATCATTGACAAGGAAGAGACACTTCTCTCCATAGGTATACCCTCCCAATGGAAGCACTAATGGAGCTTCACATGCTGCATGGCAAAGTAAAGTAAACCGAAACTGTAAAGCCAAATAAGAGAAAAGACTGTCATTTAATGTATAGAGAAGTAATAAGCAACTTCACGTTGAACCAAATAACAACCAGGACTAAGAGAAGTATACCTGGCTATCACCAAAAGCACCATGACTATCACCGTATGGATTTCCAGGTCTATGGTAAGAAGGATGTTCCACAAATACCTTATAATGGAGGGAAACCACTTAACATGATTAAAATTTTCTCCCACTCTATCAACTTGACAAATAGATGAATGAAAATTACGAACTTATAGCTAATTTCCCTCACGATTCCTTAATAAACAATCTCACTTAAAGAACAAATTCATGAGAGGAGTTTTAGATTAGCAACAGAAATTCTTACCCAATCAACACCCTCCCTATACTCATGGAAGAATGCAATCTCTTGCTCCCCTCCAAAGCAATGTAGCTTGATGCGCCGATCTAAATCAATTGCAGCGGCAAAATTTTTGTCTGCAGGCGTACCATTCAGGTATCTAGGGGAGACAACCATGACTCGGTGTCCACGGCCAGCTAGTGCTATGGGCAAAGAACCACAAACATCTCCTAATCCACCCGTCTTTGAATAAGGTGCAGCTTCAGCAGTAACAAAAACAATGTTGTAGGTTACTCTCGTTTCTAGTTTTTCTTCTTCGATGTCCTGATCTTTTTCTTTGGTATCAGTAGCCACGTCTTCCTCAGAGTCAATGACTTCATGGTCACCTATGATTCAAGTTGATATACTGCAGTTAGCCCACAGATGGCCATTTAATCTTTATGAACAAAATACTGCTAAAGATACCAGCAAAGAAAATCAAACTTAAGTGGGTCAGGAGAAGTGGTAAGGTTTAAGAGTTAAGGTAAAATATGGAACAATAAAAAAAATCTAGAAATAAATAGATACCTTAGATATTGTTCCAGTAATATGAAAAGAAAAGGGAAAAAAGAAGGCAAAACAGACTGGATGGATTATCTAGAAACTAAAATAAAATCAAAAGAAAAACTTTGGCAATGACAATTGAAAAAAGTAGTATACTTATATTGTTATAGGAGTTTCCAAATAGTCAGAAGTTTTCATATGACGGCCCCTACATGGGTGAGTAGAATTTAGGTCCCAATTAATCTTTTGTTCAAACACTGTCACAGTCACAGGGCAAGGTTTCATGATCATATGGACAACACGCAGGGCTCAAATAATAGCCTATGTTTAATTTCATAACCTTCATTGGTGAAAGTTCTTGCGTCACGTGCACAGTGATCTGGATAATGGATGGAATAAGAAAAAGATGGTGAAGAATCCACCATGAATAGTCAATAACAATAGAATGCAAATTCAGCCAAAGCCTATGCTTTTATAATATGAATCTTGACCAGCAAGAAGTTCAAGAATCATCAATAAAAAAATCACCATGTCTCTCTGATTTGGCACAAATATTAATTCACTACAGAAAATTCAATCACCGAATAGGAATAATCTATATATATATAGACAAAGTGGTCAATTTCTATTCCATAGATGGCTGGGATCCCGAGGAGTTAGAACCAAAACATGCACGCAAATCTACAAGTACACTTTGCCCGATGAAAGGGAGATACCCAGTTCAGTTAACACCCTTGTACTTGCTTGGTCCCACCATTGGGTCAGAGCATGTGATTGATTTTACAATCTTTCATTGCCAGCCACAAAAAATCAACGGTTAAAGTGACTTCGAGCTGCAAAGCTCTTGTAAATCTGTTGCTCATCTGCTGATCTCTAATTCTGCTTCTAGATCTCATTTTTTAAAAAATATTAATAAATGAAAGGAACACCAGATTTAAAAAAAAAAAAAAAAGCTTCATGTAGACAAAAGATGGAGAATATCAAACATAGAATAACTCAATTTATCTTTCTATTTCTTTTTAAAAAAGAAAAAGTGGAAAGTTCTAAATTGTTTAACTAATCATTGAAAGAGAGAAAAATAACCATCTGGACAAAAAGAAGCATTCATAATCGGCAAAAGATCAAAACATTATAATTAATTGACAACAGTTAAAAGTTAGTATTTTTTTTATTAAAATAATAAAAAAGAAATCTTGTACGGTATTTGGTTGTTACAAAGAGTAGTGTATTTCTGTTTTTGTTACAAAAAAATCAAACAAACAAACAACAGAAGAAATATGTCCCAAAAATTCAGAGAAGTGAAAATACCAGATTGAGGAATCAATTGCAAGCCGATAACAGAGCCAGAGACATCCCTGTCTATGCACAGCATAACACCATGCTGTTCTTCTTCTTCTTCTTCTTCATCTTGAACAGCATTGGAATTAGAGCCGTCGGTTAAACCGCCGAACCCGCCTGCATTTCCAGTTTTCTTCGATCTTACAACCGTCAAGTTCCCATTTTGAAAACTTCTTCTCAACAAATAACCAAACCCCAGTTGCCTACTCGGCCAATAACTGCAACCTGTACGAGATAGAGATACTATATTGGTAGATAAGTTGCATGATAGCAAACGAGTTAGTTTCAGAGACTCCATAGGAAAACAGGGAGTTTTGACAGAAACAGAGGAGAATAGTCGTGAGGAGTACGAAAGGGATCGTGAAATAAGAAGGACCGAAAGAGCAAAGAGCAAAAAGGGGAGATCCAAGAAAATAGAGACACCTGTGACTCAGGTAATAAAGACAAAAAAATAATAATAGAAAAAAAAAACAAAATCACACTTGTATCTCCTTTCCTTTGCTTCATTTGTACACAGAAAGAGAGAGACAGGGCGACAAGAGTTTTACCGTTTTTCTTCTCTTTTTCCTTGGATTTCAAGAGGGGGAGATCCAGTAAAAGTGCGAAAGCCGAAAAATTAGATGCCCTGTGGAGCTCCACACGGCTGAAGATTTTGCTAAAGTTAGGTGATTTTGCCACGTCATTTTTAGTTGGACAATCCTGAAGTTGCATTTGTAGAAGTGACAGTTGGAAAGGCCAATGATAGAAAGCAAACAGAATCAAGGTTAGCTCTTGTACTCATTTTTCTTTCCTGAGAAGATCCATGCTCTGTCACGTGAACTCTGCCTTAGACTACCTGTTTTACGACCCGGTTTGATTTCGTATTTCGACCACAACGTCAGGACTACGCTGAGTCCTCTGGAAATCATTTGAGGATATAACTCTTGATTAAGTTTTGTGATTTCAAGAGATAACTTGATTAGATTCCCAAATCATTCTAAGTAAAAACTGGTTCTTGGAAATATAAAATTGATCCTTAATAATAGTAATAATCCCTTATCAACAAGGTGGCAATAGCATTGATCCATCAGTTAAAGAAGAATAGTTAATAATATAGAGATGAACAAACGTAGCCTCAAGAGTTGGCTGTTTTATGACATCACTAGCATGAATGAAAAAGCAATAAATAGCAACATATTAACATATAAGAAAAGTTCATATCACACTAATAGTGGCACTTATCAAACTCAATCAACCAAAACCATTTCACCAGCCATGACTGCCAATAGGCAACCTCCAATCCTCTCCACCACCGGCATCTGGGCTACTGCCTCCGAGACGTCTGGATGGTACACGGGCACCATTATTCTTTGGGCCAGGGCTCCTCGGGGCCTGGTAGATTGTTGTTCCCCCACCTGAACTTGAGGAATCGCAACCCGAGGCTTTCTTTGTTGATGGGTTCCATTGGGGTACATATGGTCCACTTTGCTGCTTGACTGGGCCTTGACTTCGCACCTTGGCCTTGGCAGATTGGGTTGGGGCCATATAGCTGGGGACATTATTGAAGTCTAATTGCGGCTGCTGCTGAGTTGAGTAGGGGCCTGAATCCATTGGTGTCACAACGTCCATTTCAACGGTCTTCTCAGACAAGTCATCAGTAGTGGTGGTAGTTGCAGTGGTGGTGGGTAGTGTCATGTAAGAACCCTCTTGAATGCCTAATTGACGGGCGTGATATGGTTGCGATGACATCCAACGCTCAAGCCAATTCCAACCCCATTGTGCCTTCTCACGCTCGTTAAGGTAGAGTCCAACATCATTGCCATTGGGATGTGGCTGCATGAGAAGTTGTTGATGCTGCCGCGGCTGTTGCTGTTGCTGCTGCTGCTGCAAGAAGTGAATTATGACAATGTTAATCACCAATTCAGGGGAAACACACACACACAAAAATCTAATATTTTTTCACTGAACAAAGTATTTCTCAAATGCTTATAATTAACTAACCAACCTGATAGCTATAGGCATAAGCAAGGGCTCGTTCTCTTCTCATAACAGCATCATGCTTCTTTGAAGCACTTTCCTTGACTTTCTCCGAGCTTTGCTGCCCACCATCCCAACTGTCATATTTCTTCAACGGACTCTTTGGCTTTCGTTCCAGTTCTTCGATTCCTCTTTTTTCTTCCTCGTATTCCTCCACTCTCTTCTCAAGCTTCTCATGAGTTAGCTGCAGCCTACGAGCTCGAACTCTTGCCTGCACCCGTACTAATGCTTGCATGCACCGCATTGTCATTTGTGCCTGTTTGCGCACATTATAGCCTCTCACTAGTGCCTGCAACCTCACCAGTCCCTTCAAAGCACGCAAAGCTCTCCGAGCCTACAAAATCATAACTCAAAATTGAAACGAAACCATCTGCAATATTTAGACAACCTAATAGAAGAATATCCCTTTTCCCTCCTGCAACTTAATTGGGGCACTAAATTTTCTTGTTTGCGCACATTTTAGTTCTCTTCACTATTGGTAACACTTGATTAATTATATTGTTCAGTGGTTTTACTTAATAGGATTACAATTGTTGGAACTACGCGGTTGTGCCTTAAAAACTAATTCCTTTAAACTATGAAGCTAAAAACCATAATTGACATTAACTGCATTCAATGCGCCACATGTGATCCTCCCAAGTCTTTCCCGAGTTTACCTGTTTCTGAGAGATACATATAGATGGTGACAGATTGGGAGAGGTTTTACCAGGTAGCCTCTATAATACGACTGAATGAGGGTTGCAGCTCTTTCTTCCTTAGTGTGTCGCCCATAACCAGCCAATCGAACAACTTTAGCAGCAGCTTGAGCTGCTGCAACAGCAGCTTCTGCAGCAGCAGCAGTTGCCACGGCCACAGCAATGGCATGGTTCCTATCTTCATTCAGAGGAGTTGACGTTGCACTCTCATCATTTGTAATGTCCGGTGAACTCTCAGCCGGAAAATGTTCAAATGACACTACTTCAGGGGCCTCATTTGGCCATTTCTCCACCTTATTATCTTTCTGAAAATCACACGGTATAATTGCTCAGTGCAAACATTTCATTAACATTTGCTTGTATAATGTTAACCACTGAACATAAAATAAAATTTCCACAATTAATACAATGAGTTTTTTTGTTTCTTACTGGCTAGCAAAACAGAAAAATTTTAGAACAGATTATTATTGCTATGGAATGATGGAGATTTAACATTTCAAGCACATGACGATCAAGTTGAATGATGTGATAGCCTAGGTGGCATGAAAATAATGTGTCAAGGTAGTCATGTTGATAGGGGACCAGTGCGCCTTGCCTGTGTTCATGTTCCTTAGAACAGTGAAAAGGAAGGTCATATTTATTCCACCAAGTACAATAATATAGGACCCGTTCTATAATATCAGGCCTCCTCCATTCTAAAGAAGCACTATAAGAAAGAAAAGCAATCCTCCTCGACCATTTTCATTTTGGATAATTTCCTTTCACCATGTTAATTTAGTTGAATTGAAAATTAAATATTGAAAGCAAAATTTGTCATTTTCATTCCATATATCAAAATTTAAATCATACTTTGTTGTGGCTGGTTTTATAAATTTATAACCTTTAAAAATCTGTCTCATTTGTAATTTTTTTTCTTTGCAAAAGTTATTAATTAGAGATCTCTACAATTTTTTCATTTTCCAAATAAACTTAAAAATAAGTTATTATATTTTAAATCAATCATTTATAAAAGTTTACATGCAATAGATTTGGAGTTAAAATTTTAATACCTGCCTTTGACTTATATAGCTAATTAAGTGCGGACATAAAAAATAAGAAACCAAAGAAATACAAGTAGAATCCAAAATGTTTTGGACGTAGATGCTTGGTTTTTTTCTTTTTTAGGGCTGCCGACATAATACCTTAGATTAATTGCTTAAAAATATGGCAATCATATCAGTGAACAAACGGGGAAAAATCCAAAAATCAATAAAAATTAGTTACCTTTTTCACAGGCAAGTCCTTAGAAGATGATTTGAACACTTTCTTCACCGTCGAGAACCATCCACTCCCTTTCCTTCCCATCTCCGCTCAAAACAAGAGCTTCAACAAGTGTAAAACAGAGACATACATTTAGTAGTATATCAGATTTGAAGGACTATCTTTTCAACTAATATGCATCCATGACAAAGTTTAAACTCAAGAAGAATGAAAAACATGGAAGCGTATAAAAGAAAGAAACTAGAAACCGAATCCACAGTCATATGATGTCATGTCCCCTTTCCAGTTTCATGTCAATGAAAACAGAGAATGCATAGCAGAGGAACATGGTTCCCAGAATGAAAAGTGAAGATTACCCAGAAACGGGAAAACAACAAGAAATGAAGATTTATTTCCAAAAAAGAAAAAAAAGATCAAACCTGAGACAAGAACAGCTTGCTGAGATGTTATCAGTTGGCTTGAATTCTTGTCATGTTTTCTCTCTATCATTTTCCATGTATCAGCTTTTCTTTCCCGATGACAGAGCTGTGGAAAAGAGAGAAGAGAACCGAAAAATGAGAAAATAGGTGATGTGGAAAGAGGAGAGCAGAGAGTATTTTTGAGAGAGAAAGAAGTAAATGAAGCAACCCGCGCGATCGGCCGATTGGATTTATCAAATTCACGGGCCGTCTACCTCCTCGTAGAACATATTACTGTTACAGTTGAGGTTGGGCGCAATCATATTCTGCCACGTCATCATAACTCTTGCCACGTAATTACATTACAAGCCTTATATATTATTGATATAATTATTGAACTCAATCAATTTAAATTTTTTATTAAAATTTATATAAAATCATTATAATAAAAAAACAAAAATTTTATCTAATAAATTATATTTAATCTTGTACTTTCAAAAGTTACTTTGAACATATGTACAGTTCTTTCTTTTTGTCTGCATATATTAATATTAAAATTAATTACACTTTTGATATTTAAATTTTTAAAAAATACATAATATTTTTAAAATAAAATATATAATTTATATCTTGAACTTTCAAATAATATATCATTTTAATTCAAATTTTATTATTGTTAACTTAAAAAATATTATTAAGCATATGATATCTAATTAGTATAAGTTTATATAATTCAAATTTGATTATTATTTATTTAACAGTAAAAATTTTATCAAAATTTTTAATAAAAATATTTATATAAAAATATATCAAAATTTATTAGAATTTTTAAAATTTTGTACATTTATCTATGTAATAAAATTTTTAATCTATGAATTTTTAATAATACTTTTTATTTAATTTCAAAAATTAATTTTTATTTAATCATTTTTAACAAAAAAAAAATCATAAATTTTACATAAATTTTTTTTTAAAAAAAAGCAGCTTGTGACTTTTTTTTTTTTAATTGCAAATTTGTGAGCATGAAGCCAAGATCACATGAAGTCCATGAGGGATTGGTCCCTTAATCAATGGCCTTTTTCTCTTTTCTTTTTTATTCTTGAGTCTTGAAACTGTAAATTTTGATGTATACGAAACAAAGGATTAATTCTCTATTTATGAACTTTTTCTTTTGCACCCCTCAAAGTAAGATTTGGTTTTTTTTTTTTTTTTGGAAAGTCTTAGAATCTTCCCTTTATTTTATGTGGTTTTGTTGTTATTAATTAATAACAAAAAGATTTAAATGGAAAAAGAAAAAGTTCCAATAATATAAATTGTTTTTGCATTAATTATTAAGTAGCTATTAGAATTATCAAATTTAAAAAGGTTAATTTTGATTTTTTTTAAATTTGATTTCAAATTCAAATTTAAAATCTTTAATATTGAAATCAATTTCAATATTACTAAACTCACGTCTCTTGAAGTTAATTTTGATTTATTTCATTAATAATAAAACTTTTAAAAGTATTAAAATAAAATAATAAAAATGATAAGATGAATTATACCTTTTAGAATTTTACACATTTGCTTTTTTTTACCTTCATATGTTATTTAAAATATATATTTTTATCGATTAATCCTTGAATTAATTAATATAATATTAAAATTGATATTTAAAAATTACAATTGATATGATACTTAAAATTATGAATTAGAATAAACAAAATAATCTCCTTTTTCAATATAGATGTTTTAGTTAGGTTGACATTGTTTCTTAATTAATAACAATAATAATAATTTTATGCAGCTTTCACGGTCGCCAGACCATTGGACGACCTCATTTCCCTGGAGCAGGAAGTGGAACCCCGGGTCACCTACCCCAATCATGAAGCAGCGGTGGTGCTTTAATATTTTATCCTCGGGTAAACTTTTGAGTTGGATGGAATTGCAACCTCCAAAGTACAAGCAAATCAGACTCTAATTTTTAAGGCCTCCCGGTGTTCTGGTACTACGTCTGTATTAATGTAAACAAACCACAAAAAGGAAAAACAAAAAAATCTTAATATAGTATACTTGTCATGTACATATAATTGCTACGGTTAAATTCATAAGAACAAACAAAAAATTTATTGCTATTTTTTTAACTTTTATTGATCATTTATTGTTTCAATTGTTAATTCGCATGTCATAATGTTAAAATAACATGGTGAAATATATATATATATATATATATATAAAATAAAAGTGGCAAATTTTGAATCTTATACTTAATTCAATTAATTTGTTTATAATCTTCAAAAGATGATGTTTACTCAATTATGATTTAAATTTTATTTATAACCTTAGCTTTCTTTGTATAAAAAAAAGGGTAAAATTTTGCATTTTTTTGCTTTTAATGCTTCTTTGTTTTAGGGAGTTGGGGTGTTAAGTAAATGCAAAATTACAAGTACTGGTAAATGTCAATGTCTAGCACAAGGAACCCTAAACAAAAGGGAAAATGTGGATCCACCACAATCACGTAAATAAGAACTTTATTGCTTGATGAGCTGTGAATTCTTGTTGTCACTTATCACCCTGGCTTGTGGGATCCTACCCTCTAAATAAGTATAGTTGGGGAAAAATCAAAGTGCTTAACTCTGTTAGATGGTCCAATTGCTTGCATTAAAAGGAAAATAAAATACTACTTACTTATCGAAGCCAAAAGGGTTTGCAATTTGGAAGGAGTCCGGTCTTAGTTGTGTACCCTCCCCTTAAAGGAAAATTGAGTTGGGTGGCAAGCTCCTTTCAAATTTATGTTATCCCTGCGTTTTATTAATTATCTACAATGGGGTCCTATCATCTCTTCTCCTGCCCTTATGTCAACTTTTAGAAGTACCAAGCAAAAAAATATGGACCACTTATTACCTCTTGATTATACAAATGTTTACGGATTTGATTAGTCGTTTAGACTCGTAAAATTAATGCGATTTGAATTGAATATAAATATTATATTTATTTTAAGTTTAGGATATTATTGTTTTAATAGATAATTGCTTTTATTCAATTCTAATTTTCAAGTATATTTTGAATTATTGAATTATTAATATAAGATATTTCTTATTATTTTGAAAATAAATAATATAATTCAATTGATAAATCGTATCCACTCTAATTTTAAGGGTATCAATGTATACCTTAAACTCTTGCATTATTGTATTCAATCTTGATCTTGAAGTCAGATCAAGAAATGTTTTACTAGTATTCAATCCACTTATATTGTTAAGGCCTTACCAATAAATTTTTTAATTGATTTGAACACAAATCAATGTTTTTATTCAATTTTAGATTTTTTTTTTGTTTATGATTATTAGTGATTGAATCTTAATTATTAAAATTAAAATTTTAATATTTTACCAATAGAGGTGTTGGCCTTTGGTAAATAGCCTATGATGGTAGAAAAATATGATAAGATCTAGTTCTATAAACTTTGATTTAACTATAATGCCAAAGATATCATGAAAATTCCTATTTCATAAAAAGGACTCACCCCGAAAATTTCCACTATATAGTAAAAAAAAAGAAAAAAAAGAAAAAAAAAAAGAAAAGGGTTTTATGAGAATTGTACAAGGGTAAGTGTAATTTTTTACGTTTCTCATTCTATGATTGGCTTGACCCCTTTTCACACCTTTTTATTTATGGAGAAAGATTTTCACGATGACTTTTGAGATGAAACATAGACATCGATTTGGAAACGTTTATCACTTTAGCAGTTGATGAAATGTTATCAGTTTTAAGTGTGGATTGAAAGCAACATGTTTTATCTAACCCACGGACTTGAGTTTGAGAGAGAAGCAAAAGACTAATGAAAATCAAGAAATGTGGTCAACCAACTTTCGATAAGAAATCCCAACTACTAACCCCAATCATGAGACTAAAACATTTCTTCACATCTCATTAACGTTTGGTGTAACAAATATTATTTTATTTTTTATCTTCCTCCATTAGTATTACATTTTCGATGCAAACATTATTATTTTTTATATATAAAATGAAATATTTTCTTTATTTTACTTTAAGAAATCTAGTGCATTGAAATTAGTTAGCAAGTGTTCATGAATTATACCTTATTTGGCTTCAAATTCAGACTAAATCCGCAAATCAAAACTTTAGAAATTATTAAAAATATATTATTGTTTTTGTTAAAAAAAAGAAAAAGAAAAAGCAAAACAAAGTTTTGATCAGGCAAGCCCAAAAACAACGGCTCAGGCTTCGACCCAAAATGGTGTGAGCTTGTGGGCTGTCGTGGTACCGAGCAAAGAGACTTGATGAAGCTAGTAACTTTTCAAGCCCAATGACTCCGTTTGATGGTCATGGGTAAAAAGACGGTCCATGCGGACTGCTCATATCTCTTAGCTGATTTGTACGTTCGACCCACAACAAAATTAAAATATTTCCTGTAACGGTCCAGTTGCCCATCCATCCAAGTCCGTTCGTTTTCCTTTCGTGTTTACGTGTCAAACAGGGAAACGAGAAGGGACAGTTCATAGCTGGCTATACAGTTACAGTCCACTATTCTCAATGCGTACCCAGTACGAGAATTTAAACAAGTTTCTCTCATTTTCCTTTCACATCAATTCTCTCCTGAACAAACGTGAACTAGCTTGAAAGCCATGGAATCTAGAGGCTTGAAGACACCGTTTGTGTTTGACAACGAAGATCATGATTCCTACAAAACTTACCGTTTCAAAGTCTTGTTACCCAATGGGCTAACTATGAAAGACAATGAGCCAGAAATCACGTTTCAATGTTTCATAGGCTTGATCAAGGACGAGTATAACGTCCTTAGACGCCAATCAGAGTAGTTTAGACGGAAAAGAATGATAAATTGGAAGAGTGAAAAGTTATATCTTGAGGATGCAAACGACAGGAAAACCAGGAGCCGAATCAACTTGCGGCATTTTCAACCTCATTAGTGTCACTTTCTACGCCTTCATGTAAGTAAATTTAGTCGCAAAGTTGTATATGTCTTTATTACCTGTTTGGTTTGCTGTAGAAAAATGTCAACATGACAGAACAAAAACATGTGTTTTTCCTTACTTATTTGTTTTTTTTTTTTTTAATAATCAGGATGGTTCTGGAGAAATTTCCAATACTTTTGAGGTATTGTGTCCTATTCTCTAGTGTGCATTGGTTTGTTTTATTTATTGATTAATGATTATTAGTTGCAAATTAACCTGTCCTGTTTCCTTGTAAAACTCAGAGAGACCATAAATATAATTTTTTTTGGATGAGTTTTGTTGGTTTGCAGAATATGTGGGATTTGACACCAGATACAGATTTGTTAAGGGAGTTACCAGAAGAATACACTTTTGAAACTGCTCTTGCTGATTTGATTGTAAGTTTGATCAAACTACAGAGATTGTGAATTTTGTTTTACCCTTAAATTGTTGTTTTCTTTAGGCCCTTATGCTCTTCTACTTGTTTAACAGGACAATTCCTTGCAAGCAGTATGGTCAAACGGAGACAAAAATAGGAGATTGATAAGGTTTGAATCTACTTGTAAAATTGATAATTTATGTCATTATGCTATTATTCTGCTACATACTTTTATTGTGTGGCTTTATTTTGTTTTTGGCTGGACTTTGTTCTATTATGGAATAGAAATTACATTCAAATAGTGAATTGGAGGTGTAATGAAAATGCGTTATTTGATTGCACATGTGACTGACTGAGATTATTGATCATGAGGAATGACACCTGCTTTAGAAGTATGATTTATTCTCACTATAAAAGTTGTTATGACTAACAAATTTTTTCTATATCCAACAATTATGTTGACATATTTTGTGGCTAAGAACTTGTTCGAAATCTGTCTTGTTCAAATATTAATTTTTTTTTCTTTTTTATATTATGTTGGATCTTTCTAGTGACCTGTGTGTGTTTCTCTGAAATCTCTTACACTCTACCATCACAATTATCTTATAAAGGCATTTTGCTGCGGCCTTTTTATGTGTTTTTGGAATGTGCGTGCATACATGTGTTGCTTTTCTGCATGTAACAAATTCAATCTTCCTTTATAAATATATGTCCTCACTCCTCATCAAATAATGTTTACATCATACTTTAGATGGCCATCTTTTTTTTTTTTTGTAGTGTGAATGTTCTTGAGGATAGAATCTCAGTTTTTGACACTGGGCCTGAAATGGACAACAGTGATGAAAACTCTATTGTGAAGTGGTATGTTATATAAATTCTTTTTGCTTATTTATAATTATGTTTTTTGTTTTAACTTATTGGGTTGGGTTACTTTTCTTCTGTAGTTGGCTAAGACAGAAGTTATCCTATAATAAGTAACGTATTCATATGCTAGAGTTTGTGAGCAGCTTTTAGATGTTTTGTTCCTCGACCTCATGAAAAAAAGAAGAATACTTGAATGCGGGAAGCCTCAGCCTGCAATTTACTTATTCGTAATTTAAATGTCAGTACAACTTGCTCAAAGTTTAAGCATGAGTGGGATCTTTTTTGTAAAGAAACATGTGCTGTACACTTCTAAAAGGAATTTCTAAAATTTTAATATTTATATTCTAGGGATGATTAAGATAATCTCCTATTGTCTAAAGAGAGAAAAGAAAGAAGAAAAGGGAATTGCTGAACTCAAAGAAAACTATCCTCAATTTTAACTCTAAATTAATAGTTTGCACCTGATTCCATAATTTTCGTCCCATTTTTTAATCATATCTTATTTTTATCATTTTATAAAGATGGACTTCTTATAATGTTGAGAGTGTAGTGGCATGGTTGCATAATTTCTTAGCAGTGATTGTCATGTAAATTTAGGAAGAAAGTTGATTCTAACATGCCCATCTCATAAATTTCAATTACTGGTTCTGTTTCTTAATTATCGTTTTTCTTTGGAGTCTTGCTAACGAATTTAAGTTTGTTCTGCTCATTTATTCAGGGGAAAGATGGGTGCCTCTCTAAACAGGTTATCTAAAGTACGTGCAATAGGCTGCAAACCTCCATACTTAGCGGTAAAAAATTATGTGAAACTCTTTTGTTTATATCTTTTTGGTCATACACATTAGTATCTCTGTCTGAAATGCACATAATTGGAGTTTTCCTTTTATCTTTGTGCTTTTAATTAGTAAAATTTTCAACTGACAACTTGTATGATGCCTGAAAAAAATAAGAGATGTCTAATGCAAAGTTAGTTGCCCCCCCCCCCCTCCCCTTTGTTCAATCTTTGATGAGGCATCATTTACCCATTTTACTAATTGTGGGTTGGATTTCTTTTTTATCTTGGGTTTTACCATCTATGTGTTGATCAAAATCAGTTATATGTTGTTGTAGCTTTTGCTCCATAACAGTAAGTGAATCATTAATGGTGTTTGCTTGGGAAATTTATCTATAGAGGTGACTTTGTGAAAAGGATTATATGGTGATTTGAAGCTTTTCGATATTTATATCAACCTGTTATGTACTCTGAAAGACAGAAATCTTTCGTTTATCTTTATATCATCACTGGATTTGCTAGTTAGAAACTCTTTTTTGTAACAATGCAGCCCTTTTTTGGCATGTTTGGATATGGAGGACCTATTGCATCCATGCATCTAGGGAGGTATGACCTCTTTGACAAATTGCTCATGCTCCTTCCTCTGTTTTCTACTGATTGAATTATGTCCTCTTGATGTAATGGATTTTTGTGGTTAATTTTTTCCTGTTCTCGTATAGCTGTGCTATAGTTTCTTCAACGACCAAAGAATCCAAGGAAGTTTATATGTTACATCTTGCACGACAGGCTTAACTCAGCAATTCTGGTTCTGAATGTACTTGGAGGGTAAGCAAGTTCTCTTAGCGTCAATCTTCCCAACGAGTTGATTCTTTTCACTTCCTTTTCTAATTTGCTTTAGATTTATTTTCTATAGAAAATTTCTCATAAGTTTGTTGCATTATGTTATCAAAATCTTTTTACTTTAAACTGATGGCAGCATTAAGGATCCTTCAGACGATGAAATTGCGAAATCACCCCTGGGGAGCTTTACAAAGGTTTACTCTGCTGCACCCCTGGGGAGTTTTTGAGGCTAGATCCTGCATGCTTGTTGCCATGTTCCCCATTTATTATATTACAGGTTGTGGGCGTAATGATGGTACTCTGTTGTGAATTTGTTTTCTTCTTTTTTTTTTTCTTTTTTTCTTTCATGATCTTCTATTTCTTCATTTGCTGGGATAAAAAATTTGGTGCTTATTGTGATATTCCAGTCACCATGGTTATTTAGGACTGTTGTCCATTTCACTGTATGTGTGGCATTAACTTGCTTGAACCTGTGTAACTGGTCAAACACTGTAACTCTATATATTCAGCAGTTCAGATTTCAATGTTATCATACCCTCTTAATAATGATTATGGCATCTTAGTATTAATGAAGAAATTTATGAAAATTTTATTTATGAATTCTTAAGAAACTTTCTAGAGTACAAGAGTGTATATATAGCTAAAATATCAAATTTGGCAAATCCCATGATATCTTAGAGATAATAACAAATCACCTAAAAATCCTCTAATAAAAAATGAAAAATACCAAGTAGGGATTTGATCAATGAACTAAATCCTAACAACCAAAAAACTAAATGAATGACACCTAATCAAATTTAGTTAGGAATCGGTTTTCTACACTCCCCTTCAAGTTGGGTAGTAGATATCAATCATACCCAACTTGGACTTCAAATTCTTGAAATTGCCATGATGAAGAGCCTTAGTGAGGATGTCGGCTGTCTAATGTTCTGTTGGAGTGTAGACCAGTTTGACTACGCCTTCTTCAATCTTTTTTTTGATGAAGTAGCGCTCAATCTCTACATGTTTTGTTTGATCATGATGAACAGGGTTCTTGGCAATGTTAATAGTTGCTTTATTATCATGAAATTTCTCAGCTGACTTCTTCATTTCTTGTAGCATTCTCTCAAGACAAATTCCTTCACAAATCTCGTGAGACATAGCTCTAAATTCAGCTTTAGCATTACTTCGAGCTACCACTGCTTGTTTCTTGCTCCTCCAAGTAACCAAGTTGCCCCAAACATATGTACAATACCCTTTAGTTGACCTTCGGTCTATCATAGAACCAGCCCAATTTGCATTTGAGAAAATCTCCGCATCTCTATTTAGTGCTTTTCTGAAGTGCAACCTTTTGCTCGAATTTTTTTTCAAGTATTGAAGGATCCGATATACTTCCTCCATATGTGTCTTTGTATGATTTGTTCATAAATTTGCTCACCATACTTACAAATAAGCCAATGTTAGGTCTAGTGTGCATCAAATAAATTAATTCTCTCATAAGTCTCTAGTATTTGTTTTGGTCTGCAAAAAGACTTCCATCTCCGATTCACATATTGACATTTGGGTCCATCGGAGTATCAATTGGTTTAAACTCGAGCATTTATGTCTTTTTGACATCGAGTTGGTGAAGAGGCCAATTTAGGTTTGCAGCAAGTGGTAGTAACACACGGACAGAATTCAGTTTTGCTATAGGAGCAAACATCTCCTTATAATCAATTTGGTAAGATTGATTGAACACCTTAGCCATGAGGCGAGCTTTGAATCTATTCGCACTTTTGTCTTTTTTTGTGTTTGATAGTAAAAATCCACTTACATCCCACTGAACTCTTTCTTCCATGAAGATTAGTAATTTTCTATGTGCCATTCTTTTCTAGTGCTTGCATTTCTTTCATTACCGCAGCCTACCACTTTGGTTGTTCGAGTGTTTCTTGGATGGTATTCAGTATATAAACATCAATTAATAATGTAACCAGTACTCGGTAAGTATGAAAAAACCCTTCATAGGAAACAAAGTTACTAATAGGCTGTTGAGTGCATGATCTTACACCTTTTCTTAGAGCAGTGGGCTAATCAAGATCACTAGGAAAATCATCAGAGATAGGTTCAGTAATTGTGTTACCTGTTTGAATTTCAAAAGTCCTTAGATTTGGTTTAGAATCTTGATTTTGTTTCGGAGATATACAGGTCCTTATCTTTTTTTGGGATTACAGTCTCCTTGAATATACAATCCTTTCCTTGGCTTTTGTCTCTTGCACGGTTTTAAGAGATTTTGGAGACTTAGGATGAATAGTTGACTTAGAAGAAGAAAAAGAAGAATTATTTGAATGGAAATTTGAATTGGAAGACAAGTAGATTAAGGATCAGATGATGGCTCAATCTCCCAAAGTTGATATTCCTTAGAACTCTCCCCTTGAATATCGGCTATGGGATAGAATGGCTAATTCTCAAAGAAGGTGACATTCATAGAAGTGTAAAACTTTTTGGTAGTTGGTGAGTAATATTTGTAGCTTTTTTAGTTAGGTGAGTAACCAAGAAATATACACCTGAGTGATCTAGGGTCTAGTTTATTGTGTTGTTGTTGGTGTATATGAACAAAGGTAGCGCATCCGAACACTTTGACTGGTATGGAGGTAATGATTTAGACATGAGGGTAGGTTTTGAGAAGTGTTTGGTAGGAGGTTTAGAATTTTAGTACTCGAGAAGGTATCATATTGATAAGAAAGGTTGCTATCAGGATTGTCTCTCCCTAGAAATGTTTTGGGACATGAAAGGCTAGCATAATAGATCTTGCAAAATCTTGCAACTACCATCAGGTGTCTATTCTTCCACTCAGCAACTCCGTTTTGTTAAGGAGTTTTAGTTAATGAGCTTTGATAAATAATTTCTTGATATAACAAGAAAGATCCAAGAACTGAGTGATAGTATTCTCACCCATTATCTGTTCTGAACACCTGAATTTTTGCTTGAAATTGAATTTGCACCATCTTGTTGAAATTTTGAAATATTGAACTAACCTCTGACTTGTCTTTCATGAGGAATAGCTATGCAACTCTGGTGTGATTATTAATGAAGGTAACAAACCACCTAAAGCTTGTAATATTGTTAACTCTCGATGATCCCCAAACATCACTGTGGATCATAGAAAAACGATGATTGATTTGTATGGTTGACTTGGATATGAATTGCGAGTGTGTTTGGAAAACTGACAAATTTCACATTGATAAGACTCGAAACCTTTATTGAATAAATCAGGGAATAATTTGTTAAGGTACAAGAAATTTGGATGTCCTAAATGATAGTGTCATAACATGATTGTATTTTTTTTATTCTTACTAGAAGATGAAACCGAATAAGCACTCTTCCATGATTGTCTCATAGATTCTTCATCTCTAAGGAGATAGAGTTCGGCAAACATCTTAGCATTACCAATCTTCTTCCTTGAATCTAAGCCTTGAAATTTAGTCTTGTTAGAAAGAAATTTAGTAATACATTTAAGATCTTTAGAAATTTTACTAATAGACAAAAGGTTGCAATCTAAATTAGGGACATGAAGAACAGTAATGTCTTTTGAAATAATGACTGAACCTATCTTGACTACCCAGAAGAGTGACCCATCTGTTATTCGAACTGTGAGGTTTTAAAAAAATGGGCCGTATTCATGGAACACCGATGCATCATCATTCATGTGGTCTGATGCACTTGAATCAACAATCCAAGATCATGATTTTCCATTTTGCACAAGGAGAGCATAGAGAGAGTTACCTTTTTGTGCAACAGATGTTGTGTTTACAACTGACCAAGTGTTTTGAACAGATTTCTAAACAATTTTCTTGTGGTGACCTGTACCCAACTTGCGAGGTATTATCTGCTTTGACCTGAAAGTCTCATGGTTTTGTCCACAAAAAGTGCCTTACAGGTCTGGGTTTAGATCTATATATATTATATATATATATCATACTATATCCATACATTCTTCCAATGTGGGATTGTAGGTGTTACAATCTCTCCACCTTTAAAGCTTGACGTCCCTGTCAAGCGAAGTTCAATCACAAGACAAGATCACACAAGATGTTGGGGTCTTAGAGGTGGCTCCTTATTGTGTAGCACTTAATGACTCTTCCGGCCTCACTGTGTAGCACTTAGTGATTCCCACGATGTAACACTTGGTTTTTGCTAACTGGTGATCACTCTAATACCATTTGTGGTGATTCGCAACCAACCGTGAGGTATTGATCACTTTGACCCAAAGGTCTCACGGTTTTGTCCCACAAAAGGTGCCTCACAAGTTTGGGTTTAGATCTCTACATATATATCGTATCATATCCATACATTATTCCAATATGAGATTGGAGGGTTACAATCAACGAGTTTCAATTGCTCTTTACTAAACAGGCTTGATTCCAAGGGTGTTGGAGTTGTCTTGGTGGTGGTAGAATTTCCATGACTCGATTCTGAGTAAAATGTGGTTTGTAGTTAGCAGGTTTCGCATGGATTTGCCAACAATTTTCCCGTGTGTGTCCTGCTTTCTGATACTGGTCACACCAAGGTTTGTTACCTTTCTTCTGTCGATTTTCACCACCTTGGTAGGATTTTGGTCCTCGTGCAGCAACTGTTGAATTTTCTATCTCTTGTGGATTGCATGATGTTTCTATCATCATTTTCCTACTTCTCGGATGCTGTATAATGGCTTGATGCTAAGAATTCTTCCACAAACATCATCAAGGCTCTTGTTTAGACCAAATAGAAACTTATAAACTTGGTCCTTCTCCATTATTTTCCTATATTGTTGGCTATCGTCGAGCACTTCCTTGCTATTTCTTCAAAGATATCTAATTGCTTCCAATAATGAGTTAAGGAATTAAAATATTCCATGATGGAGGAGTCTCCTTGCTGCAGGTCATGTAAAGTGCTTTTGATCTCGAATATTGCAGACGTATTATCTACATTGGAGTAAGTTTCTTTCGCAACATCCCAAATCTCATTGGCAGTTTTGTAATACATGAAATTCTCACCAATCTCATTGGTCATAGAATTAATCAACCACGACATTACCATGCTATTCTCCAACTTCCAAGTGTAGTACTTTAGGTCATCCTCGTTGGGTGAAATAACCATTCTCGTGAGATAATCCTCTTTACTTTTTCCACAGCCAAATAGCATCGCTGATTGAGACCATTGGATGAAGTTTTGTTCATTGAGTTTGTGACCAGTGATAAACAAAATCGGGGATTCGGACACACTTGTGTTGCTGGCCATGGCATAGATAGAAAGATAAAAATATATATATATATATATCTATATATATATTTATAGATTTTGATGATTTATGATGAATGCTCTGATACCATGAAAAAATTCATGAGAATTTTATTTATAAATTCTTAAGAAACTTTCTAGAGTATAAGAGTGTGTATATATATATATATAGCTAAAATATCAAATTTGGCAAATCCCATGATATCCTAGAGATAATAACAAATAACCTAAAAGTCCTCTAACAATAAATGAAAACTACCAAGTAGGAATTTGATCAATGAAACAAATCCTTTTATTTAGGAAACAACCAAAATAGTAAATGAATGACACCCAAGTAAATTTGGTTAAGAACCAGTTTTCCACAATTACCCTTGGAATTTATATGGGGATTTTAACTGGTTGTTACTTTGTGAATAACATAGAATTACACAGATGGCATGGCTAATAAATCCAGTCTACTGATTCAGTTTTTTGGTTCAGAAGTCGGAATGGTGCAATGATGTCTCAATGATTCAGTTATAAGTTTCTTTTACTGAATTCTTGGTTTTATTGAAATTAAAAATGGGCATCATCTTTTATTTGTTTGGCATTTTTGACAATTACAGATAGCCTTATCTGCCAGATTGGCTGTTTTGTGCACATGTATTTATGTGTTTTTACATTATTGTTTATGTTGGAGTCTAGCTTTCAACTCCTAAGTGTTTAATTGAATTGCACTTTCATCTATTGTAGACTTCTTTTTATTGGTGACTTTTTCAATTTCAACTTTATAATCATACTAAATTCTAATTTGCCTCTCATACTTCACTTTGTTGGCCTGCAGCGTGATGAGTTGTCCGAGGTTCGCAGGACTACTATACCTGTTGAGTTCCAGGTTTAGTCATTTTACAGTAATCTCCTAGATGTTAATTTTGACACGCATTTTCCAGTTTCTCCTAATTGTTGAGTTATTGCTGACCTTGTGTTAAAATATTTTGGGAATATTGAAGGAAGTTATTGCTGTTTAGGTAAATGGTGTTGATTTAACTGAAATTCAAGGCGGTGAAACTGCAATCACCAACTTGCTTTCTTGCACTGGTCCTGAATTTACTGTACTGCTTCACTTTTCCCTTAAAAAGGAGAAACTTGCAACCAATGCTTTGGGTAGTCATCATGTCTTGCTATTTTACTGCTTTAATCAATTAGCAAACTTGATGTTGATGGAAGAGCCACGTTTTCCTGATGTTAAGTTGCTGAGGTTTTATGTTTACCTTGTTTGAAGGCTTCTCAACAAGCAAATGCTCGCCTCAAGTGTATTTATTTTCCCATTCATCAGGTATTTATATGGGGAAATTCCTTTTAGTAGTTAGGCTCTGTGGAAGTATTTTAAATCATATTCTACAGGGGAAAGAGAATATTGAGAGGATTTTGGAGAAGTTGGATACTGAAGGATGTGGAGTTAGAGAAAACTTTGAGAATTGTTGTTGTGTCTCAATTTGTCGTCTTGGTCGTCTACTTCCAGTTGCTCGTTGGGTTAGTTTCATATCAAACTTGTGAATGTAAAGTGGTTTTTGTCTATCATATTTGGTACTTTTGGTGCCATCATTTTAAAGAATTTGGTAATTCCCCAGGAGATACTAATTTATGTTTCAAATCATCAGTCAGCTTTTTCTATTTCCCCTTGTGCATGTCTAAAACTATGTGCTATTTTTATTTTACCCTTTACCTTTTCTTTCACCATTTGGTTGTGCATCTGTTAATTGTATAATTTCATATACATTAGTGCTTCTTTGTGGTGTGCTGCTTGACTCAGAACTCCAATAACTAATATATGATGTATCTTTTTCACTATTGGCATTGCTTTCTTTTATGGATTTGAGGCAGAGAAAGGGAGATAAGTCCCAGTTGTTGAAAAGATGTTGCTTGAGAGTTAAATGCTTCGTTGGTAGAGTGGATTAAATTTATGCGAAAGTTGCTTTATATGCATACTTCCAATGTTTCTTTTTCAAGCAAGAACCTTTTTGTTGCAGAGACTGATGTTCAATCCAATGCCATCAAAGGTTAACAACTTTGAGTCTCCTACTTTTTTCTTCACTAGCATATTTCTGTATTTGTCGTGGCTTGCTGTTATGTCAATATCTACTGTTTTATTGGAAGTTATCAGGTGGCTTGCTTTTTAAGTTGTTTGAGACAGTATCTTGATTTCTGGATGTGTTTCCTTCGCTTCCTGCTTTATCTATATGGGAATTGTGGTTCTTATGTGTGCACATGTGTGTGTATGTATGGTGCAGTTTGTTATGTGGTGAAATTACTAATTCCAGTAGTTGGTGGCGCTGTTCTGAATCAGTTACAGCAATAAAGGAAAATGTGTTATATCAACTGTATGATTCCATTGTTGTCTTGAGAACTTTTTCTGTTCTTTTTTGTCCAAGGCACTTTTTCTTGTACAAGGTCAAAGTTTGTGTTAAAATTTTTTTCACCCCCTGTCAGCTGGCTTTGTACTTATTCAACTAGTAAGGAAAACTGAGCTAGTTGCAGCAAGAAGTTCCTATATTCTCTGCTCAAAGGCAAAAAGGGCACTCATACTTACTATATACACTTGCAAACATATGGTCAAACCAACATTATTATAATTATTGCAAAAGATTGCTTAAAGAAGCCAAAGTAATTATCAGATGATGGATTAAACTAGTATAATTAAAAATATAATTTTGTTGTGTATTTTTCCAGACTGATTTGGCGCACCATAATCCTTTTTCCATTGCTCTAAAGAACTTCAGCTATAGGCCTCAGGAGAAAGAAAAAGGTGAACTTTGTTTTTGGTTTTGCTCGATGCCACTCGGTCTATGATCTTTGTTAATCCAATAATCTTGAATCTGGAGATGTTGATGTTGAAATTTATAGATCCGGCTAACAATTAACATTTTTGCAACTGGAAAGGGAGTACCAGCATTGGCTTCTTCAAATGCATGACAGTTATGATGAAGAAATCGAGTCTGGTGAGGATCAGCCAATTCTTGTTGTCAGTCCTTTGAACAAGAAGGCACTACGAATCTCATCTGACGGTATGCATTGTCTTTTTAGTAGTTTGATGTAAAATGCATGTTTGATTGATTTTTTATGTTTTCTTGCAACCTCATAAGTTTGGTTTAGACAGTTTAATAGAATATGTTAAATCAGGTTAGCTCTTGTTTTTGTTTGTTAATATTTTTCTTTCCATTCCATAGCTGATCTCATTTACTTGCACTGTTGCCTCTTTTCAAGTTGCAGTTATAGGGTTCATCAAATTCTGACGAGAAAGGGAGGGTTATGGAAAAGTGGCCAGAGAATCAAAGTTCTCAAGGGTGCATGTGCAGGGTGTCATAAGAACAATGTTTATGCAACAATAGAATATTTTTTGATTGAAGGATTTCAGGGAGACTCTGGTGGTAAGCAATATATTAAACAGTGAAAAAGTCCAATCTACCATTGTCTTCTACTTCATTATTGAATTTTGTACATTTAAATATTCTTTTGATTGTTTAATGCTTTCATTTATGTGTTTTGTATAGGAGAAGCTAGGATTATACGCAGGTAACCTTGTTGCTATTTTTCTTCCTAAATTTCTTGTAGGTTTTTTGATCTAATACCTCATTGTTTACTTATGATATATGTCCAGCTCTAGTGTGGAAGGCCACTAGATGTAGAAAATGGCTGTATCCTTTCTGTAAATAGTGGTAATGCGAGTTTAAATATTCAAAAGTCATTATCTCTTCCAGTTAATGTGATTGATGCTGGAAAGGTTAGCTTTTACTATAAGTTCTTATATGCTCAGATACCTTTTTTCAACTGCTTCATTTGGGTGAGTAACATGCTGAATTCTGAGTCATTTGCAGTGCATAGCCATTGATGATTCTGATTGGGAGTATCATCTTAAGAAACAATGTTGGAAGACTCCCTCAAGAATTGACTTGCTGAATGTGAAACAGTGTCAAGAGTTGGAGGTTGATGGGGTCAGTTGATAATTGACTGTGATAGCTACCTAATACTTTGTTTTATCTGCTGCCCCAATGATTTTTGGCATTTTCACAACAGAATGGTTAGCCTTAAAGATTACGAATGTCAAAATCAAATTGCATGTGTGAAATGCATGCATACACACGTACATCTTCCGACATTTTCTTTGCAAAACAATTTGTTATTTTTCTCCTTCCTGTTCTCTTAGTACAAGCATCTTCAATATGCCTGATTTTGATATTACTGGTTTCTTGTCTTAGGCATTGCCAACTGATGTCACAGTACATGCTGGACAAGCCCCTCCAAAGGACATTGTGGCTGTTCTTCGTCCAAGTTGTTTTGGTTTTTCTAGTGCTTCAAATGACTTGAACCAGAAGGACATTGTGAAGATTAATATAGAGATGTCAATGGATGTCAAATTTAGAGGAAGAAAGAACCATCAAGATAAACATATTTTCTCACTCCGCATTACACCTTCATCCTGTAAAGGGTTTTATGGCTTATATATATTCTCTCTTGGTTACAGTCTCCCTCACTTGTTTCAAGAAGCAGGTGCTTAGACGTTTTCGTTCCACATTGTGAGTGATTCAGAGACTTTTTTTCTTTTATCTTTTTCCTAGTTTGAGTTATATAATCTTATCTGTTTTGAAGTTTCTTCTGACCATGCAATCTAATGGAAGCTCCACATTAATTAGGAACATTCTGGTTGCCAGAATTACAATCAAACACTTTGGGTACTGCCTTCAAAAAAGGTTGGAAAGTGGCAGCTTCTGGGTGATGAAAAGCTTCCATCTTATAATTTAAAGTAAGGGAACTTGAGGATATGATTTCTGGATATTGGATGTTTAAGATCTCTCTACCAAATCAACTTTAATTATATATCCACAAATATTCTTTCTAGAACTACACTGTGGTGTGGTACCACTTAAGAATATAACTATTGAAAATATAATAGAAGTTTGAAATGGGATCTACATTATTGTTGTTAGTTAATAGTTATAGTTTTTCATAGCAGAAACTATATTCAGAATATAATTTATACCTCTTTCACTCAATTGTCATTTGACAGGGTCAGTTCATGTTTTCCACTCTTCTCTATTGCATGCTATGACATATATGACAATTGGATGCCATTTACCTCCATTATTAACTTCAAGATCTAGCTTATTATGAATGAAGATTTTCTAGTTGATGTGGCGAAGATGAAGCCATTTCTTTCTTCTGGTAAGTTGGTCCTTAATATTAAGGTATGTTTCCTTCATGAATCTTTTTGCCCTTTGAAAGACATTACATTTATATGCCTAGAAATGTGCAAGTAATTTTCTGTGCATTTGTTCTCTTTCTTGGTTTTTCCTAATGCTGCAGGATGTCATGATTGAAACTAATGAGTTAGACTAAATCCTGCCACATTATGCGGCCACCTTGCTGATATATTTCCAAGATGAGTCAGTGTCAGTTTCTGTTGAATGTCAAGGTATTCTACTCTATATTAATCAGTCTGCATGTAAAAGCATTAGTACTGAAATAAATTCAGTCATTTGTTTTATAATGCAATGATTTTTTTTGTGCACATATCAGTTACCCCTGGAGCTTTACATCATTTCAAAGCCTGTTCACAACTTCTTGGAAATCAATTACTTCCAGGTTTTATAATTGAGCAGTTTGTGCTAGAGGTGCTACTTTCTTATCATTTTAGTGCCCTAGCTTTGCCTTAACAATGATTAAATTCATGTTTTGATAAATTTTTTGGTTCTATAATAGAGGGAGACCCTCCTTTCATTTGCCATGTTTTCTTATGCCTTTTTCTGTTATTGTCTCTCTGTGTTTGCCTGGATTGTTTTTAATTAATTATAATAATGTTCAAAATAATTTTGTAAATAATATACAGTTTGGACAAACCTAAAATTCAAAATATATCATTGCTTTCCACAATATTTTTGAGTTTGAAGTGCAAAAACTTTCACTTTTCTTAAGGCATCCAAAATGTTTCACTACTTATAATCTGCCTGCCATCATATGGTAATTAATACAGAGCTGGCTTCAACTGCTCAAGTAGATGTCTCCATTGAATTTATGATCTACTGAACTGAAAGATATAATGAACAGGGGGATCTTTTACATAACATAGAGTTTTCTTATTTTAATGATACTAGGAAGTATGAAATTTTGTTGAATGTTACAGGATTTTCTTTCTCATTTTAACATTCCATTTGAAAGAACATGTCTCTCTTACTCTGTGTACAGAAATATCAAATATTCGTACATAAGCAACCACAATTATACCATACTTGAGTCAATGTGGAATAAGACTGGTCACAAAAAATACTATCCATTTGTAAAATCATTTGTCAATGTTTTATGTTTTGCACTAGATTTCATTAATTTTCAGATAATAATAATAATAATAATAATAATAATAATAATAATAATAATAATAATAATAATAATAATAATAAAATGTGAAATTGACTTTCATCTATCTCAACTTTGAGTACCTTTTGTCGTAAAGGTTATATATTGGATAGCAAGTTGTAATTGTGGAAAAACTAAGAAATAAATCAGTGTAGAAACTGAATGTATATTGAAAAACTGCTTATTGAGAATTATACAAAAATCTTAGGTTTATATACAACAAACTAGGGGTTAAACTAGGAAACTAAATCTTCCTAAAAGATTAATCCTATAATTGAGGGATTGTTTATCCTAATTTTAGGGATACAAATACTTAATTCTAGAGATACAAATATAAATATACAGATTACAAGATTACAACTGGCTGTAAATAAGTGTTTTCCCACACTTCACCTCAAGCTGGTGAATAGGTGTTTTCCATTCCCAGCTTGGAAATAATTTCTTGAAATGTTGCATTGCTGAGACCTTTAGTCAACACATCTGCAAGTTGACCCTTGGTTGATACATAAGGTGTACAAATCAACCCACTGTCTAGTTTCTCCTTTATGAAATGCCGATCTACTTCAATGTGTTTTGTTTTGTCATGTTGCATAGGATTGTGTGCAATGCTTATTGCAGACTTGTTATCACAGTAGAGTCTCATTGGTCCATCTCACTTGATCTTCAAGTCTTCTAGGATAATCTTTAACCATAGTAGTTCACAAATTCCTTGAGCCATTGCTCTGAACTCTGCTTCAGCACTTGATCTTGCCATCACATTCTGTTTTTTACTCCTCCAAGTCACAAGATTACCACCTAAGAAAGTGCAGTAGCCTGAGGTGGATCTTCTATCAGTTACTAAACCTGCATAATCAGCATCTGTATATGCTTCTAAAACTAACCCCGAATTTCTTTTGAATAAGATACCTCTCCCAGGATTGGCCTTCAAATAGTGCAATATACGGTAGATAGCCTGTAGGTGCACTTCTTTAGGACTATGCATAAATTGACTTACCACACTCACCGCATATGCTATATCAGGTATAGTATGTGAGAGATAAATGAGTCTTCCAACTAATCTTTGGTACATCTCTCTATTTACAGCAGCATCTTCATTAGCTTCTCCAATTTTATGATTAGGATCTATAGGGGTATTTGCAGGTTTACATGCAAGCTTCCCAGTTTCCTTCAGAAGATCCATAACATATTTCTGTTGTGAGATGAAAATACCATGCCGTGAGTGAGCTACTTCAATTCCTAGGAAGTACTTCAATCTCCCTAGCTCTTTTATCTCAAATTCTCTAGCCAAACACTGTTTTAGAGATTCTCTCTCTTTTTCATCATCTCCAGTTACAATTATATCATCAACATACACTAATAGAACTGTGACTCTCCCTGAATCAGAGTGCTTGATAAACAATGTGTGATCTCCTTGACTCTGTTTATATCCCATTGCTAGCATCACTTTGGCAAATCTCCTGAACCAAGCTCTAGGAGACTGTTTAAGGCCATATAAAGCTTTTTTCAGCCTGCATACTTTGTTTGCTTCTAGATGACCTCCAAATCCCGGTGGAACCTTCATATATATTTCTTCTTCCAAATCACCATGTAGAAAAGCATTCCTTACATCAAATTGTTTAAGCTGCCAATTGTAATTTGCAGCCAATGATAAAAAATCCTAACTGTATTCATCTTGGCAACGGGAGCAAAGGTTTCTTGGTAATCCACACCATAGGTTTGAGTGTAGCCCTTAGCCACTAACCTAGCTTTATACCTTTCAACAGTACCATCCGCCTTGTATTTTACAGTGAAAACCCATTTACACCCTACTAGATTTTTTCCTTTAGGCAATTCTACCAGTTCCCATGTCTGATTTTTCACTAAGGCCTCCATTTCTATTTTCATGGCTTGCCTCCATTTCTCACTGGAAAATGCCTCGGATAATGTAGTTGGAACAAAAATAGTGTTTAGGCTCACAAGAAAATTTTTGTGGGATGGTGAGAATTTTTCAAATAACACAAAATTAGAGACTGGGTATAGTGGATGCTTGGTACATTCTCTGGTTCTTTTCCTAATGGCAATAGGCAGATCATAATCACTAATTATAGTTTTAGGATATTCATGCTCATTTTGAGAAACAGCGTCAAAAACTGTAGTTACCTCATTTCCAGAGTTAGAATCAGGTTCTTGGACTAGCACTGGTTCAGGATCTGGAACTTTCTTTTTTGAGTACACCTGTAATTCCTTCATAGAACAAGAACAATATTATCCTTTGTCACATCTTCCGTATTTGAAATGGGTTCAGACTCAAATTCAGTGTTTGACTTGGGCTCAGCAGAAATAGGTTTCGACTCAGAAGAATTAATGGGTGTAAATATTGAAGAAAGGGGCAAATCAAGCAAAAATAAGTCTTTATCCTTATCTTTCATGAATGAAGTGTCCCCCTGAAGATAATGTTGAGTAAAAATTATTTTATTTTCTTCAAAAGTGACATCTGCAGACACATAGAATTTTTTGGTAGGGGGATGATAGCACTTATATCCTTTTTGAGTTGAAGAATACCCCACAAAAATACACTTAATCGCTTTTGGATCCAACTTTCCCCTGTTATGACTATGAACATGAACAAATGATGTACAACCAAATATCCTAGGTGTGAGATTGTTTGTGGTATTGAGTTTGGGATAAAATTGTGAGAGTAGTTTCATAGGAGTTTTAAATCCCAAAACTCTTGAAGGTAACCTATTTATAATGTGTGTGGCAGTGAGAACAGCTTACCCCAGTAAGATTTAGGTACATTTGCTTGAAAAAGAAAGGCTCGGGTTGTGGGTGGTAAATGGCTATTTTTCCTCTCTGCCACTCCATTCTGTTGTAGAGTATTAACATAAGATGACTCATGGACAATCCCCTCTTTTTTGAAATAGGTGGAGAGAGTCTAGTTGAAGTAGTCTCTTGCATTATCAGACCTAAATCTCTTGATTCTCACTCCAAATTGATTTTGGATCATATTTTGAAAGCTTAAAAACACACTATTCACATCTAATTTGGATTGAAGTAAAAAAACCCAAGAGACCCTGGTACAATCATCTATGAATGAAACAAACTATCTCGCACCAGAAAATATTAGGAATTGTAGAGAGACCCCAAATGTCACTATGAATCAAGTAAAAAGGAGTAGAACTTCTTTTGTTACTGATTGGAAAAGACACACATCCATGCTTTGCAAGTTTGCAAATATCACAATGAAAATCTTCGACATTTAATCCTTTGAACAAAGAAGGAAACTTGTTTCTCAAAGTTCCAAAAGAGGGATGTCCAAGACGAAAATGATAAAGCCAGATTTTGTCTTTATTGGAAGATTTTTCAGAAAGAAATGACAAAGGTAAACTATTATTGATGTTACTTGTGTTATTTGATGTCTCAAGATAGTATAGTCCATCTTTCTCCTTAGCAAGTCCAATCATCTTCCCCGAACTCTGGTCCTGAAATTCACAATAAGAGGGATAAAAAGTTACTTTGCAATTCATATTTCTGGTAAGTTTTTGTATAGATATCAGATTAGTAGACAATCCAGGAACATGAAGAACATTTTTGAGAACAAACGAGGGATTAACTTGAACATCTCCTAATCCTGCCACTGTAGTAAGTGAACCATCTGCAACAACAATTTTCTTATTACTAGGACACAAGTTATATGTAGTAAACTTTTGTGAGGAATGTGTATATGGTTTGTGGCTCCTGAGTCAATGACCCAAGAACTCGTAATAGGCTTAGCCAAGACATTTAATCCATGAGAACCGGAAGCTTTACCTGAACTAGAAGCCTTACCCAAAGAACATACCACAGTAGGCTTTTCAAGAATTTTCAATAAGTTTTTCAGTTTTTCAATCTCTTCCCTGTCGAACTCTCCTTGTTTCTAAGACATCTGTAGTACTCCAGTGATTTTTCAAGTTGACATTTCCTCAAATTGGGTGGTAGTGATATCTTTCTTTGAAAGGGTTCGGCAATGAAGGCCTAAACAGGATTCGGCAATGAAGGCCTAAAATAGAAGTCAGCAATGAAGGTTGAAAATTTTGCTTCCCAAGAAGAGCCTAAAGCTCTGATACCATGTGGAAAAACTAAGAAATAAATCAGTGTGAAAACTGAATGTATATTGAAAAACTGCTTATTGAGAATTATACAAGAATCTTATATTTATATACAACTAACTAGGGGTTAAACTAGGAAACTAAATCTTCCTAAAAAACTAATCCTATAATTAAGGGATTGTCTATCCTAATTTTAGGGATGCAAATACTTAATTCTAGAGATACAAACATAAATATACAGATTATAAGATTACAACCAGCTGTAAATAAGTGTTTTCCCACAGTAATATTTGATATCTTGAGTATCTAGTTCATGGAGGCTCTTAATAATTCAAGTAACTGGTAAAGCCATTGTGAATTGAAATAGTAACACATAGGGTGTAAGATTGTAATCTGAAATTGTAGATTGGACATGTGATCTTCACATTGCTAACATGGTAATGTATTTCCATCAGATGTTTGATGCATATGGCAATCATGTTGTAGAAGGCTTGAAAATTCAATTCCACTTGGATGGTTTTAGCATCCAAGGTCAGATAGGCTCAAAGTATAAGGTTAGGTTCTTTAAACTGCTCTGAGTCTGCACTCTATGGAGACAAAAATGTCACACTAGTTTATAAGGTTAGGTTCTTTAAACTGCTCTGAGTATGCACTCTATGGAGAAAAAAATGTCACACTAATTTATGCTGCATGTTTAAGAGTTTTAATGAATTTTCTAATATGAATAATGTGGGAATAGCAAAGAAGGTTGGGTGGCAATGCTCCAGGATTCTGTGTTTCAATACTTCAAAATTGACCTATACTGTTATCTTCTTTTATGTTCAATTTATCAACTTGGTTGCTGAACTGAATGATGCAATATATAATTTGGTGTTTTTCTAAGTTTGATGTTGTAGTCAAAAGGTTTAGACTTATGTGCCTTGGTATTACGTGGAAGAGAATGTCATTGTTCTTATTTTTCAGTTGACACTCTGAGCATGATGCAGAAAACTGTCAGTCAAGTTTAATGCTTCACTTTTTGAGATCTGAGGTGATTGTGTTCAGCACATAATGTGCATGGCCTGATAGCAGTTTTCCAAAAATATAGGTGGATGACCATGGATGCATTGACCTTGGGGGCCTATTGAAAGTAACTGCAGGTTATGGAAAATCAGGCATATACCTTCAGGCTTCAGTTAACTGGTCTTTCTTGGTGAAGTGGTCTTTTAAAGAAATGAGAAAATTTTGATATAAATTTCCTTTCTATATTCACAACTAAATCATTTGTTGTTAATTTCAGGGATTCTATTATTATTGGTATTTTCTGTTAGTTTTTCCAGACTGCTGTTGATAGTGATTTCCTCATATTCACCAAATAATGATAGTATATTTTATCTCTGTGTATTTTTCACATGGTTAAAATTTAAGGATTGACTACATAACTTTGGGCTCTTATTTATTTATACGGCTCTATGTGTGTGTGTGTGTGTGTGTGTGTGTGATCATACTTATAAAAGAAAAAGGTTAATATGAAAGTAGCTGATTATTTGTATTCTTTTTCTTTTGGAGAAGCAGTTTATTTTATTCTCTCTTTTACAATTTATACTTGTGGCAAACTTTGTACTAACATCTAAAGTTGCAATTGCTTTCCATTATATGAGGAGAATGCGCATGGTGTCATTGTAGAAATTTTGCAGAAGGTGACTATTATGCATCTGCATGTCTTTGGGGATTGACAAAGATGCTTCTTAAATTCATACTCAAAAACTAACCACAACATTGGAACATAAGTATAAATCAGTGAATTATAAATCTTAGTCTTTTTAGTTTTTTTTCTTGCATCCCTTGCACCTGCAGCATCTCTCTCTGTTTTACATAATGATGAAGTAACTTTCAAGCAAACATTTCAAACTGAGGAATGGGAGCTAAGAATATCTTCAAGGGTCAGTAACTATTTGCTACTGTTTTTCATCATCTCTCATATTCCTCAAATTCTGTTACTATTTTTTGTTCTCAGGTACCTGAGCACTGCATTGCTGGTTCTACACTGAAAAATTTAGGTTTTGAAGTTGTAGACTCCAAAGGGGCTATTGATAAAACATTTCACGCTGATGAAAGGTGTGGCAAATAACATAAGCTAACAGTTAAGTCATAATCATTTAAAATAGATGATTCTGTATGCTATGCATTCAGGCGTGGCTTCTGCTACATCATTTCTTTTCCCCTTCCCCAAATTGAAGGGCCCCTTTGTTTCAAAGCTTGTCATTCTCGTTACACTGAGGTATATTGCAATGTCAAGGTTAGACAAATCTTGTGTGTCTACTTTGTGAGTACCAGTTCCACATCAAATTTGCTGATTTCATTGTGCGTGCTCCAAAAGTTGAGTCCAATGAGATTGAGGCCCCCTCTTCAGATGGAAAGGTCTTATTCTTGCAGAACTCACCATCTGTCAATAATGACAGTGTAGGAAATCTACTGTCCCTAGTGACATACGAAATGGTAAGGCATCCTGTCCCCACATATGCATTTTTTCTCGATGTAAGTGCACTTTAATTGCTAAAGTGGACTGCTTCTGATGCAGGAACTAGAAAGTGAATTGTGCAAATATGGTGGGCGCATTGCCAGATGTGAAAATCAACTGAACAATCTTGATTGTCAGAAGAAAAATGGCGAGAGCTGTATGTCTGGGTTGCAAGGTTGTTTTTCTAGCAAGTTTTAGTTTTTTTTTTTTTTTTGTTCTCGTTTCTGAAACCAATCATCTTTATAATGAAAATGATTGTTTACTACAATGTAATGCTTGTTGGATGATATACCAAATTAGTTTCTTTTTCCTATCATTTTGTCTTTCAGTTAACGCTGTTTTAATTTACATTTGCATTTTTCTGTGAAACTTCCTCATCAAATCAAATGTATAGGTTAACATAATAGAATGTTTTAAAATGTTTTTTTTAATTCTCTTCATGGTTCAAGGTATCCAATAGAAAAAAAGAAGAAGAAAAGTTATGTTAGAGAATCATCAATTTAAAATCTCAGTACCAGAACAACTTTCAGTTCTTGAGAATTTCCATGATGTACCATATGCCCCGCAGATGTTTTTGATCTTGTAGTGATAATAAATTTTGGTATTAGGCCACCGATTATGCAAAAAAACGTTTGAGTTTGGAGCTTTAACTTATTGTTTTGTTGTGCTTTTCTACTTGTAAGCTGTTTATGTTAGAAAAGATGAAAAGATCAGGTAGTTAATGTAAGAAGTTGTTTGTCATCAACTTTTTGCAGCTTCTCTGGAACCTAATTTATTGAACAATCTGGACTATTTGTCCGCAAAAGAAGAAATGATGAAACTGATTGAGGGAAGAGATGATTCTGCAGCTGCTATTCTCTGCAGTCTCACTCAAGGACCAGGGATGCATGTCCTGGAAGATGTAGTAGGTGTGGTAGCCCTACTTGGAACAGTTTGCACCATTAAGCTTAGCAGGTTGTCTTTGTCTTGTTTTTAAAGTGCAGCAAAATGGAATATTGTAAAATCTTTCTGTAACTTTTAACTCTTTGTTGATTTCAGGATTTTAGCTGAGTACTTGGGTGAAGATCAAATGCTTGCTGTTGTGCTCAAATCCTATGCAGCTGCATGTGCTTTTGAGCAGTATGAGCGTGATGGAGAAGTTGATTCCAAGTTTGGTCTTCATGCAGAAGCTACTGTACTTGGTAAATCCATAAGTGGCAGATTTCATGTTGTTTGCCTTGAGGATGTACGGTATTGCATAATAGTTATTGGTTTGGAAATGTTAATGGTGATTGTTACAACTATTCTTATAGACATTGAAGACTGGGTCTTTGGAAATTGAAAACTTTGTGGTCAATGATGTTTAACGGTGAATCATGCAGGCCTTACATCGGAGAGGTTGACATCAGTGACCCTCAAAGGAAGCTAGTCTTACCAGATCCTAGGTTACCAAATGGAAACCACCCTCCTGGTTTTATTGGTTATGCGGTTAATATGGTTAACCTAGACCATCCTCATATAGATTACATGACTGCTTCTGGCTGTGGTCTGCGGCAAACTCTATTCTACAGACTTTTTAGCAAGCTTCAAGTGTATGAAACAAGGGAACATATCGAAAATGCTCCTGCTTGTTTAAAACATGGTGCTTTGTCTCTGGATGGAGGGATTCTAAGAAAAAATGGTGTTTCATCTCTTGGATACAGGTATTTAATACTCTCTCTATATATATGTGCATGTGTGCAGACACGCTTTTGCATGTGTATGCATACATGTATAAAAACAATGGTGAGGAGCCAGAAATGTGTTGGGATTTAAATTGGTTGTCTAAACAAATTTATGAGAAAGACTTTGAAGAGTGTGTTTCTTATGTGCTTCATGTCCAAGGATTGATATGCAAAATTTGTATGGTTATGTGAATTATTGTTAAAGTCAACTAGAACAATGATCTAATGTATAGAGTTGGCTTATAGGAATCTGGAAATATATTTTCCAGTTCAAATGCATGTCTCTCCAAGAAGCAAGGAAATCTCGGAACAAATTAAGGCAAAGCAGTTGGAGCTAAGCACAATCTTGAAATAAATGGAGAGAACAAGTGAAAACCGTGAGAGAGCTGTCAAGAAGTTGTACGAGGAGAAAAAGAAGTTGCAGAAGTGCTTTGACAATGCCGGTCACGATCAGGGATTATTACTCACAATATGCCTCCAATACACCCAAGGGTGCGCAGCTCCCTCCGAGGTGATTAAATTTCTCTCACCTATGGCTGTTCTGTATAGAGTATGGTAACTTTTGTCAAAAGTATCGTTGCTACTAAAGTTCATACAGGTTAAAAAGCTGAAACATTTTAAAGATCATAGCTTACACTTCTGACTCATTTGTATCTCAAAATTCTAACCTATATATATATTTGGGTTGATTTGGCAATAACTTACAAATGTATGACACAATCATTAAAATTTAATTTTTTTTCTTCATTATATTATCTTAAATATTCCAAAACTATGACTCGTGAAAATTAATAAATAGGTAGGAGGTTTAATATTGTGGGAAATATTATCCGGTATCTAATCGCATTTATGTAAGTGATTTTTGAAAGAAAATATGTAATTAATGTATTGTTTTTATTTTGATTTTAGTAAAAATAATATAATAAATATAAAATTTTAAATAATATTTAATTTATTTTTAAACAATGCTTATAACATAAACATATTTTAATCTGACCCTAAAATTATATTATTCACATTACAAAGTTTATTAAAAATTTAAGAATATCTCCCAACATATAACAACCTCAACATAAAATTAAATAACGCAAATATATATTTTTTACTTCTATAGAGGTTTTTTTAAATTTTACAAAAAAGGACAAAGATTCGGAGGAAAATTGTCTGATTTTTTGGGTGGAAATATGATATTTGTTGGCTTGAGTTGCCTTTGTTGGCTGGCGTTGATAACTAGATCAAAACAACACATTGGTTTTAAGCATCATAAATATGAAAACTTATTAAGAAAATACATGTATTTGTAAAGATAAGTTTTATAATTATGATTTACATATAGATCTTAAGTACAAATCTAGTAATATTAGCATAAGTAGCACTGTAAATAGTTTAATATATTTAACCTTTTTTTTTTTTTATAAACTTTTTATAAAAATGGATATTATAGAAGATAAAGTAGATTTGCTTGTAGAAAAGATGGACTAAAGACATGTTCCCCAGATACATTTACAGACTTTGGACATCTTTATTATGGTAATGTTATGATGAATGATGAAAAAGCTTCATCTTCTTTATCAAAGGAGAAACAAAAAAAACTTGATTTCAACTTTTATAAATATATAATTGAAAATTTTAAGTATAAAATGAAAAAAATAAAAAATTCGCAACGGATTGATTATCTTCAAGCAATAGAAACCCTTTATAAAGAACATAAAGGAATCTTTATTAAGTACAATTATAATTATATGCTTAACTATGACACAATCAGTGTTAGTAGTGAAGAAGCAAATAATGATTTAGTAGCTGATAATTTTAAAATTCTTACTACTAACACAGTAGTAAAGGATGAACCAGTTTCGTCAGATGAAATTACATCAGATAACACTGATATTTCTAAAGATCAAATAAATTCAGAACCAAGTCAAATTCCTATTCCTCAAATAGAGGATAGAGGAAAAAAAGCATCTGAAATATCTAATCCAGATATTGATGATATTTTAAGATTTCAGATCTGCTAAACCCAGATATTATGGATTAACATTTACCTCATTTGAAAGAAAAATATTCTCACCTAAACAAGGATGGATAAAACAAACTTCTGAATTTGGCCAAACAAGTCAAGTTAAGATCGAAACCCCTGTCATCGATTCGTTAAACAAACGAACGGTTTCACAATGTGGTACTTATTTAGATCTAACCAAAGTCCTTTTCAAAGACTATGAAAAAACATAGAGGATTGGGCACAATCCATGTCTATTGTTGTCACAGGTTATAAAGAACAATGGAACAAAGAATGATTCCATAATTACTTTTGTGGAACATGAAAAGGTGATGTCCTAAAATTTCTTAAAAAATGGAAAACTATAACCCTCGGAGAATAGCAGAAATCAACGTTGTTAGCAGCATGAAATATTCCTCAATTACTAAAAGATTTAACCCAAATATTAAAAAATGAGTTTTGTGAAAGTACATAATCTCTGGATCCCACACAAGAATCTTAATTTATTTTATCAAAGTTAAAATTATGTGATATTCAGAACCTTGATAATTTCTCTAAAAAATATCTTTTTGAATATCAAAAATTAGATGAAAAACATTCAAAGTTTTGGTTACAACAATATTTTTTCAAACTTCCCTCACCATAAGATGAATTATGTTCACAAGATTATCTTATTTATTTAAAATTAAAACTTAAAACAGTTCATATTGCAAATCCAGTATTGAACTCTATGATACTCTTGGATGTAGAATACACTATGTTTAGACTCAGATCACAGAATACTGCCTAAAGCAAAAAGCTACCAAGCAGGTAAAGTCCAAACTTTCGTATAAACAATGTACAAAAATTTTCGAAAATGAATTTGAATTTGGCTGCAATAAACAGTCTTTTTCAAAGAAAAATCGTTTTAAGAAAAAACGAAAATATCTTTGAAAAAATGGAAACTCACTCCAACTTTTAAGCCTAAAAAAGGTAAATTTGTTGTTAAAAAGAAGAAAAAATCTTATAAACAAAATTGTAAATGTTTTCTTTGTGATCAAGAAGGTCACTATGCAAACAGTTGCCCTAACAAAGGGAAAAGTGCCAAGAAAATGATCAAAAAATTTGATGAAAATTTTCTTTAAATTTCTTTTGCAAATGAATTATTTGACGAAGAAATTTATTATGAAGTTTTTTTCGAAATTGATTGTAGTTCTTCTGAAGATAAATCTGATTTTATTTTTATGTCGAATATTGAATCTAACCAAGATAATGTTTCAATCACATCTTCTATAGGTACAACAACTACCGAAGGCGAAGGTATGGTTAAACTTAAAAATATTATGAGAAAAACTCATTTTATTTCTAAAGAAAAAATCAAAGAATTACAACTCATCAAGCTAGATGAGATTTACAAAACAAGTTATTTTAAAAAATTCCAACCTTGATTTAAGCGTCACATAGAAAACTATTTGGTGATACTATTGCCAATGATTCTAAACAAGGATCGATAGAAATTCATTTTTTTACTAAAAAGAAAATAAGCCATTTTTCTTTCCAAATATCCAAAGGTCAAATACATTCATATAAGTATGATTTTAATCACCATTAAACCCATGATCTATACCAAATAGGATATAGATGAATTCAAAATTCAAATTTTAGAATTGCTCGACAAAGGTCTAATAAAACCAACTACCAATCCAGCATTTTTGGTAAGAAACCATTCTGAGATTAAATGAGGTAAACTTCGAATGGTTATCAATTATAAGAAATTAAATCAAAATCTTGTTTTTGATGGCTATTTTATTCCTCGAAAAGATGTTTTGATAAATTTAGCTAAAAATGCTAAATATTTTTCTAAGTTTTATTGTAAATCTAGATTTTGGCAAATAATGCTGAATGATACTTCCAAACCCTTAACTATTTTTAGTGCATCAACAAGCCATTACCAATGGACTATTATGCCTTTTGGTCTATGCAATGCCCCTCAAATATTTCAGTGTTGGATGGACAGTATTTTCAACAAACATAAACAATTTTGTTATGTTTATATTGATGATATTTTAGTATTTTCTAATATTTTAGATGAGCACAAGAAACACCTGAATATTATTGCTCAAGAATTTATTTTACATGGTATTATTTTGAGTCCCAAAAAGGTTGAACTCGAAAAAACTGAAATAGAATTTCTTGGTCTCAACTTATTTGCAAATGGACTAACATTGCATGATCATATTATCTCGAAGATCAAGGAGTTTCCAGAACAACTAGATAATGTTAAACAGCTACAACAGCTGTTAGGTATACTTAATTATAGTAGATAATTTTTCAAAAATTTTTCTTAAAAAAAATTATCTTTTACGTAAATTACGAAAAGATAGTAATTTTGTCTGGATAACAACTGACTCTGATATTGCCAAACAGATAAAATTAGAGCTAACCTTTATTTTTAAAGTTTATTTACCTAAACAAGGTGACTTATTAATTTTAGAGATAGATGCCAGTGATGAACATTGAGGATGTGTCCTTAAAATAAAAAATCTTCATCAAAAGGATGAATTGATTTGTGGCTATAATTTCGATAAATTTAAACAAAATGAAATAAATTATATTATCTTAAAAAAAGAACTGTTAGCCATAAAAAATGGTGTACAACGATTTTACATCTATTTAGCCCTTGAGATCTTTGTTATCAGAACAGATAACCAAGTAGTAAGAGATTTTTTCAAAAATAGAAAATTCTCTGAAAATCTTAGAAGAATTAGGTGGTATAATTTTCTTTGTCAATATCATTTTCAGGTAGAGTTCATCAACGAAGATAAAAACCTCCTTGCAGACTATCTGAACCGACCTAATGGATTGAGAAAAATAATCTATCCATGACACAAGAGAATGAAGAACCATCAAGAAGAAAATAGGTAAAAAATTCTCTTCTTTTTTTTCTTCAAAACCCTATGTTTTCCTCACAAATCTTAAACCAGGATTTAGTTTTTACAATAATCTTAATCAAAGATTATATCTCTACCAACAACCACTTTATAGACCTCATTTTATGACAATTCAATCAGAATTCTCTCAGTTTGCTTAAGACCCAAATGAATGGATACCTATGAGTTATTCTCAAATAGTTTCATCAATAGAACAACTGCTTGAAAAAACAAAACTTTCTAACCCAGAGATCAAAGATTTTTATAACCCTGGACTTGAATCACAAGTCTACAATTTGTTAAACAATGTTTGGAAATCCCATCTCTCAGAAAACAAATCCAACTTCAAAAAAGAGATGACTAAATTAGCTGAATTCTTAGTCAACCAGGCTAAAGAATTTCAAAATTTTAAAGAAATAGCTTTCCAAAGCCTTCTATCAACTAATATGCTAAAACAGTAAAATATTGATTTTTTTGCTTTTGAAAAAAATTAGTATAGTATTCAAGAGAAAAACAATTTCTTGAGTTTATGTGAATACTTCAAAAAAGAAAGTTATAATTCCTCTAAGCTAAACAAGCTTAAGAGAATCCTTTTTTCGAAAAAGCTATGATATTCCTAACCAAGGAATTATTCTAGCAAATTAATTTTACTATTTTACAATTAACAGAAAAACTGTTAATAGAAATTTTTTTTGATTATTATACTTCTACTTATATTTATAATACTACACTTGGTGAATTTATATCAAAAATTAATTTTTGACTTGATCACAAAACATTTAAT